TGGGGAGGGAACAGAGCTAGGATAAATTCTAGATTAGCGGCATTTCGGAAACAAAATAAACAATTATAATTCGCGATTTTTGGCGCGAACATACCGCCCACCAAAATCATAACAATTTTCCATCACCAATTTCTATTACAATATTTACATGTACTGATAGAAGGGATATTATTCCTTAAGAACGCTTGGTAGCGGGACGAGACCAACTAACGAGCGGGTATATGTCCCTGAAGCGGTTCGGACAACGGCCACACGAGGAATTTTGTCCGGTCCAGGAAGCAATTTAACTATTTGACCTACAGGCCATGACAAGGGGTGAGAGAGGACGCCTTTTACAAAAACTAAATCGCCTTCTTTAAGCGGGGTTGACTAGCCAGACCACTTATTGCGCTGCATTAAGTGATTCAGATACTCTTTACTCCAACGTCGCCAAAAGGATTGAAACAACTGTCTTTGTTCCTCCCATCGAGTTTTAAGCGTTTCGGTTTCGAGGTATTCAGGTTCAGGAGGCGATAATTAAGCAGCACCGGTTAAAAAATGTCCAGGAGACAAGAAATGGGTAGATTCAGAGGGGTCAGATGATTGTTGGCACAGAGGACGACTATTTAAGGCCGCCTCGATGCGCGCAAACAATGTAGCATACTCTTCAAATGTTGCAGTCGAGTTCCCCAACATGCGTGTAAGGAGACCTTTGGAAGATTTAATTGCTGCCTCCCAAATTCCACCGTGTTGAGAGAGGCACGACTCATAAGAATGACACACCTACACGGAAAACAAACACTTTTAGCCCTGAAGATGATCTCAATAAAGATCGAAACGTGGCATGACAAAGAAAATGTTTTTCTAAAACCTACGACATACCAGACCGCAGTCACGATCTCCAAATAATCATTGGCTAACGGTCACTAAACACCACACAAAATACATAATTTTTTTTAAAATACTCCATTTCTATCAATTGTGTATATTTTTGTATGGAAAAAGCCTAAATTATAAATAGTTAACGGGTCAAAACGATGTCGATTTAACATAAGATGACTAATCACCAAGCCGGAACCTTTTGAATTAATTACTTAGGCCGATCTCTTGCGGTAAGTGTGTTATCTATTGATCTTGTGTCGGTTGTGAACAGTGGTACATGACAGTGTAAGTTAATACACTGTTTACATAACTGCCATAATTTAACGGCTAGAACCAGGCGGTAACTCAAATCCTCCTGTTGGGACATGAGTTGGAGATGCACTGTAGCCGTCAGGCCTAAGGTCGGCGGATATATATTTGGTTTGCGATGTAGCAATTAGCAACGAGTATCTAAATCATCCCTTAGGGGCCAACAAGCTAGAGGACTCCGCAATGCGTCTCACCACCCCGGTGTCTTGGAGCCGCCCTCAACCCTAAAATGGGAAAGCCAAAAGCACTTCTAAAACGGTTGTAGACGTAACGTACAATTAATACAACGAAAAGAAGGTTTTTTTTGTCATAAGATGATATTCTATCAGAGGTGGGCACATTAAGTTAATTAGATATCTTCATACTTAGAAAATACAAAAAACATAGTTACAAATGGAGACTGCGAACTGTTTTTGGTGAAACTAGGTTACAAAATATGTCAGTTATATATTATACGAGTAAATTTGTATTTTTACATAGAATAAAAAAAATAATATTCAAGATTTTTTGAAGAAGGTTGAATATAATAAAAGGTTGCAAAACCAAAAGACACTTCGAGTAAAGTAGGCCAAAAAAATTGTTTTTGGAAAATTCAAATCGGATTCGTTTAAAGCAGCCTAAAAAATCATTAAATACGAATTTTCATCACATTCAAAAAATAGACATTTTTGGGCTCAATAAGACAATTCTTTTGGGTTTCACCTTAACTCTTCGTTCTTAATTCCTCTGTATTTTATCCAGATTTAACGTTTATAACTTTTTTTTCTTTTTTATTTCCGGTTCTGATTTAGTTAAGGATGCCAAACATTATGACTTTACGTGCTGATTTGAGAGAATGTTTAGTTTATTTTTTTAGTTTGGAAAAAATATATTGTAGTCTAGGAATTAATTTATCTAGTTTTTTCCTATTTGGTCTATAGAAAAAGTCCAAGTGCGTTTTGATGAAATAGAATTTGATTTGATTAAATTAAATTGGACTCGAAAAAGTTCAATTTGGTAAAGCCTTTTTGTAAAGTCTTTTGGGAAAAAATCTATGCTTAGTTTAATTTTGATAAATTTTTATTTTGGTTTCTAAAAAAGTTTGATCTGATTTGAACAATTACAATTAAATTAAATTAAACACGCTTTAAACAGGTTAACAAATTTAATTGTTATTGTTTAAATTGTCATGAAAAATGTTCGTTCAGTTGTAAAAAATTCAATTTGATCTGAGGAAATCTTTAGCTTGATTTGAAAAAGTTCAATTTTATTTTAATTATTGATGTGTAGTTTGATTTGGGAAATGTTATTCGGATTTAAAAGAAATTTGATTTTATTTGAAAAAATTTCAATTCATACTGGAAAAAATGCAATTGGATGTTTTTAAATTCTATTTTATTTGAAAACAATTCAAATTGTTTAGTGTTTAGTTCAGTTTCAAAAACCCAAATTTCAGTTTAAAAAGTCCGATTTTTGTGAAATGTAGTTTTCTTTGGAAAAAAATCAAATTTGGATTGTAAAAAGTTGTTTGTAGGAAAAATGTTTAGTCTGCTATGCAAAACGAAACGTCCGATTTCTCGGAAAAAATTTGAATTTGCTTTAAAAAAAATCAAACTTAATTTGAAAAATGTCCTATTTAAATTTTAAAAACATAAATAAATTGTTTGATATGATAAAAAGTTCAATTTTTTGTAAAAATTTTGCTTGTTTAGAAAAGTGAATTTGGTTAAAATTAATAAAATTCGGTTTGAAAAAATTTCTTTTTTTGTGAAAATTAATTTGGTTAGAAAATTTGATTTCAAAATGTTCAAATGTTTTAAAAATTAATTTAGTTTGGTCTGAATAAAGTTCAGCGTTTTATTAAAGCCTTTAATTTCGTTAAAAAAAATTTCAAATTGCATTTAAGTAAATCAAATTCAATTTGAATTTTCAGTTTAAAAATATTATTGCATTTTAAAAAAATCCAACTATGTTAAAATGTTCGGTTAGAAAAAGTTCAAATTTGTTTTGAAAAAATTAATAAAATTTGATTTGAAAAATTCTATTTAAAAAATGGATTTCGTTTGTTTAAAAAGTCCAACTTTGTAAAAATGTTTCTTTGTTAAGAAACGTTCAAATTTGGTTTAAAATAAAATTTGATTTTAAAAACGTCCCACTTTTTTAAAACGTTTGGTTAGAAAAAGTTTAAATTTGGTTTGAAACAATGAATAAAATTTGATTTGCAAAGGTCAATTTAAAAAAGAAAATTTGTTTGAGTTCAAAACGTCCAACTTTTTGTTAAAATGTTGCTTGGTTAAAAAAAGTTCAAATTTTATTTTAAGAACGACCCACTTTGTTAAAATGTTTGTTTAGAAAAAGTTCGAATTTGGTTTGAAAAAATGAATAAAATTTGATTTGCACAGGTCAATTTAAAAAATAGAAATGTGTGGTGATTAGTGACCGTTAATCGATAATTATTCAGAAATCGTGAGATGCGGTCTGGTGTGATGTAGGTTTCAGAAAAACATTTTCTTTATCGGGCCAACGTTTCGATCTTTATTGAGATCATCTTCAGGGCTTGGGATTTGCAAACATTGTTTACAATTAACAAATACATTTGGGATGTGGAAAAGTGAATTTATACAATGCAAAATATATTTTTTATATTCATTCAAAGTAAAAATATATATATATATTTTGCATTGTATAAATTCACTTTTCCACATCCTAAATGTATTTGTTAATTGTAAACAATGTTTATAAATCCCAAGCCGTGAAGATGATCTCAATAAAGATCGAAACATTGGCACGATAAAGAAAATGTTTTTCTGAAACCTACATCACACCAGACCGCATCTCACGATTTCTGAATAATTAAAAAATAGATTTTGTTTGTGTTCAAAACGTCCAACTTTTTGTAAAAATTCATTCACTATTTTCGTGGTCCGCTTGACCAATTAATACAAGACAATTAATTAAGGTTTTTAGTTGAGATGAAAAAAAGTTAATGGCATGAGAGGGATTCGAACCCACGACCTTCGGCTAGATACGCCGCTGCTCTACCACCTGAGCTATCGTGACCTCGATCCACTCGGACATCAACTCCCCATCTCAACCCCACCTTATGAGTTTTCCCTCCTTTCGCCATTTTTCAAATGTCGTGTAATCGGTTTGGATTCTCGACGACAATTGAAATGGCGACGGAGAGCTTTAGTGAAGTGTACTTCATTTTTAAATCATTAATTCACTATTTTCGTGGTCCGCTTGACCAATTAATACAAGACAATTAATAAAGGTTTTTAGTTGAGATGAAAAAAAGTTAATGGCACGAGAGGCGAAAAAAAATGAAGTGGATCGAGGTCACGATAGCTCAGGTGGTAGAGCAGCGGCGTATCTAGCCGAAGGTCGTGGGTTCGAATCCTTCTCGTGCCATTAACTTTTTTTCATCTCAACTAAAAACCTTAATTAATTTTTGTAAAAATGTTGCTTGGTTAGAAAAAGTTCAAAATAAAAAGGTTTAAAATAAAATTTGATTTTAAAAGTTCAATTTAAAAAAAATTAGTTGGAAATAATTTTTTGAAAAATGTTGTTTGAGAAAAGTTAAAATCTGATTTGAAAAGAAATAAAAATTAAAGAAAATTTTATTTGCATTTCAATATTTTTGAAAAAATGTTTAGTCTGATTAGAAAGTTCAAATCTGGTTCAAAAAAATTTGATTTAAAAATGCAGTTTGAAAATTTTTCTATTTCATTTTTAAGTTTACATTTGGTTGAAAAAAAATTGCATTTGTTTAAAAGCAATTCAATTTGATTCTGAGATGATTCAATTTCAAAAAATTGAAAAATGGATGAGTTTGAATCAGTGTGAAAGGGAGCGGGTTGCCCGTGGTGGTGAGCGTAACCTTCTTCGCCTCTGACTCGTGAAGTAACCTCCCCGTCAATCGCATACCTGCACAGTGATACTGCGTTGTTGTGGATCGGACTCGCAATCATCCCACGTGGTCTCGTTTATTGTTTATCCGACCCGTCTCGACCAAAACGTCCAAAATGTGCAGCCGTGATTCCTGCAGTGACGAGTCGACGAAGCCGAACGAAAAAATCAACCTGTAATGCGCCAAAATATTTGATCCCCTTTCAGTTGTAATATTAAAGGAATAAAATTGTTTAAACAGCGTAGGTGCGAGTTGCAGGAAGTGCACGACCGTCAAAGCCTCGGTGGTCCTCCAGGGCAAGTTCCCCTACTGCCGGTAAGCACTAAATCGAAAAATCAGAAAGAAAAAGTTAAAAATTGTCCAATATGAACAGTCAATGCTTCCTGGCTTACTTCTCCCACAAGTTCAACGCCGTTTTGGGCAAGTCGAAAATAATGAAGTCCGGCGACAAAATCCTGTTGGCTTTTTCCGGGAGCCCATCGTCCATCTGCTTGCTCGACCTCGTCCAAAACTACATCGATGAAAGGAGGAGGAAAAAAATATCAACTTCGGCCGTTCTCTTGTACATAGAAGGTATTTCCAAAACTTTTAATAAAATTTTAAAATTTTCCTACCACCAGGTCTTTGAGAAAGTAATCTGTTGATGAATGTGGAGAGTATGTAGTAATGTATAATCTTTTTTTTATGGACGCATCGCATTTTGACCAATGTCCCTGATATGACAATTTGTTTCGACCAAAAAATTCAATCTGTTCCGACCCAAGCTGATAGCAAACCAATGTGTATAGTGGAGTACCTTTACTCGGTTGATGGACAAAAAAAAATTATTCAAATTACCTATATATTTTCAAGGTATCACGTTAAATTATTTGGAAAAAAATTAATCCTTTTTTTTTGGATCTGAAAAATTTGGTTTGGCAAAAATGTAATGCGGTCTGGGAATTCCATTTGATTTATTAAAATTATATTTTTTTCTATAGAAAAAGTTCAATTGGGTTTAAAAAAACAATTTAATCTGGAGAAAGTTCAATTTGATTTGGGAAATGCTTAATTTGATCTGATATAAATTCTATTAATTTGATTTGGAAACAAAAATTATCAAAATCAGGTATATTTCTATTAAGTATATTCAATTTGATTTTTATGAAATTCTATTTGGGTTATAGAAAAAGTTTAATTTGATTTATAAAATGCTCACCGCCATTTGAAAAAGTTTAATTTTATTTGAAAATTTTTAGTTTGTTTTGAAAAAAAGTTTAATTCCATATTTGAAAAAAAGTTTAATAGCATATAAAAAAAGATATGTGTTCCAGGAATTATTTCATTTGATTTCCAGAATGTTCAATTTGGCTTACCAAAAATTATATTTGGTTTATAGAAAAAGTTCAATTTGGTTTTGATAAATTCAATTTTATTTGGGAAAAGTTAAATTTGAATTGAGGAAATTTTTAGTTTGATTTGAAGTTCAAATTTTATTTTTTTAAGTCGAATTCCATTTGGAAAAAATATAGTTTTATTTTAGGAAATATTTAATTTCGTTTAAAAACGTTCAGTTTGAGGTGAAAAAAGATGATTTTGGTCGGGAAAAATTGATTGCAGTCCTGGGATTCCATTTGATATAACAATTTTCCATTTTTTCTATTTCCACTAGGTTTTAAAACCTCAATTTAATCTGGTGTTCAGTTTGCTTTCCGAAAAGTTTAATTTGATCTGGAACAGATTTTATTAGTTTAATTTGATTTTAAAACAGTTCAAAATTCAGTCTTGTGAAAAAAATTCCAATTTTATTTGAAAAAAAAACGTTTAATTAACTTTTATTTGTAAAAAAATATTTAATTGCATTTCAAAAAGTTCAGTTTGATCTGAAAAAAGAAAAAAAAAGGATTTTGGTTTGGAAAAAAGTGATTGCGCAACTGGCATCCATTTGATTTAACAAGATTTTATTTTTCCTATAGAAAAAGTTCAACTGGGTTTTAAGAAAATTCAATTTAATTAACTTGGAATAAATTTCTATTTAATTTGAGAAATAGTTTAAATTTGAAGTTCAGATTTTTCCGACAAAAAATAAATTTGATTTGGAAAGGATATAATGCATTGTGCGAATTATTTAATTTAATTTCAAGGATCTTCAATTTCGTTTACCGAAAATTCTATTTGGTTTTGTAGAAAAAGTTTAATTTGAATTAAGGAAATGTTTCATTTGATTTGGAGAGTTCAAATTTTATTTTAATTTATTTTTTATTTATTTATTATTTTTTGTTTTTTAATTCGAATTACATTTGGAAAAAATATACAGTTTAGTTTGAGTAAATATTTAATGAAATTTAAAAAAGTTCAGTTTGATCTGAAAAAAGATGTTTTTGGTATGGAAAAAATTGATTGCAGTCCTTGAATTCCATTTGATTTAAAATATTATATTTTTTCTATAGAAAAAGTTCAACTGGGTTTTTAAGAAAATGCAATTTAATCTGGAAAACAGTTAATTTTGCTTTGGGGAACAGAATTTGATTTGTAAACAAAAATTATGCAGATTCAAGGATATTTCAATTTGATTTTTTTTTTAATTCTATTTGGGTTATAGAAACAGTTTACTTTGATTTGTAAAAAGCTCAATGCGTTTGAAAAAAATTCAATTTCTTGTGCAAAAATTTTTAGTTTGTTTTGAAAAAAATTCTGATTTTATTTGAAAAAATGTTTAATTTGCAATGGAATAAATTTCTATTTTATTTGAGAAAAAGTTTAATTACATTTGAAAAAGTTTTTCCAGCAAAAAATAAATTTGGTTTGGAAAAGATATAATTGCGTTCCAGTAATTATTTCATTTAATGTCGAGAATGTTCAATTTGTTTTACCAAAAATTCCATTTGGTTTAAAGAAAAACTTCAATTGGGTTTAGATAAAATTCAATTTCATTTGGGGAAAAAGTTTAATTTGAATTGAGGAAATTTTTAGTTTGATTTGGAGTTCAAATTTTATTTTATTTATTTATTTATGTGTTGAATTTAATTTTTAAAAAAATATGTTGCTTATTTTGAGGAAATGTTTAATTGCATTTAAAAAAGTTTAATTTGATCTATAATATAAAAAAATTTGGTTTGTAAAACATTTACTGTGGTTCAAAAATTATTTTATTTAGTTTTATTTGATTTGAAAAGTTCAATTAGGTTTGGAAGAATTTAATTTGTTTTGAAAAGTTTCATTTGATTTGAAAAAATTCAATTCAAATTTTATTTGAAAAAAGTTTCATTGCATTTGGAAAACAATACGTAATTAAATTTGAAGAAATGTTTAATTGCATTTAGAAAAAGCTTAATTTGGTTTGAAAAAAAAAATATTGCTGTCCAGAAATTATTTTATTTAGTTTTAAGAATATTCAGTTTGATTTATGTAACCTTCCATTTGGTATATAGAAAAGTTCAGTTTTATTTTGGAAGTTTAATTCGTTTTGAAATAAGTTTGATTTGAAAAAAAAAAGTTAAACTTGATTTGAGGAAATGTAGTTTGATTTTTTTAAAAAATTTATTTTTTTGTAAAAACAATTTCATTTAGAAAAAAATTGCTTTTTGATTTGGGAAAATGTTTAATTGGATTTTAAAAAGTTAATTTTATTTGAAAAAATACAGTGGTTTGAAAAAAGATTTTTTTTTGTTAAAATTTTTTTACATGCTATCAAATTCTCTGATTTTCACCTATTATTTTTATTATTATTATTTTTAGAGGCATTCCTATTTGACAAAACACCCGAGGAAAGATCAGAGCTTTTAAATGAGATATACAACGCTCTGCTTCTATATGACTTTAAAACATTTTACGCATCTTACGACAGTTTCTTTGATGAAGAAATTATGCTTTATAAAAGCCCTTCGTCTCTTTTGGATTCAACTGACAACAGTCGGATGTCAAAATTACTGGAGGACTGTACTACTGATACAGCAAAAATTGACCTTCTTGTAAAAGCAAAGTAAAGTTCTGAACTTATAATTAGCATAACGTTCCTCTACAAAGTTGTCCTTTTTTAGAAATGATGTCTTGGTAAAAGCAGCAAGGTGGTTGCAGTGCAATAAAATATTTTTGGCCGATACTTCAGACCATATCGCTGTTAATGTTATATCAAATGTCTCGCTTGGCAGGGGAAGTCAACTTGTCTCTGACATCGTGCGTACTGGAATAGTATATAACTTGTTTATTGTAAATCACGGTCAACTATTATTCTAGGGGTTTTGTGATGACCGTTTTGGCGATATTTTGTTCATTAGACCTCTTCAAGATTGCTCAAAGAAGGAAGTTGCTTATTTCAATGTATTCAATGATCTCCGTTCCATTACGATACCCAGTTTCGGAACAAAGGTTGGAATAAAACCTATAAAAAAAAAATTTTTTAGTTTCTTTCAGCCTCAAATTATTTTGTTTTTAGGATGACAAATTTTCAAGCATTCAGAAATTAACAGAAACATTTGTTAATCAACTGAAGACTTCGTTTCCATCCACTGTGCCCACTGTGGTTTCAACAGGGAATAAATTAACAGCTAGTGAGAATGGGGACAATATTTGCCGTTTATGTCATGTAAATAATTTTATATAATTTGATTTGTTCATTTTTAATCTTTTTTTATATATAATTTCAGGCTAAAGTCGAAAGCAACACAAATGAATTATCCGCTCAGCATGCCACCACTGTATCGGGTCAGATTTCGAACCTCGGCCCAAACGCGTTCGAAAGCAGCACCTTTGAACCTTTGGAAGAGCAAAGCATAAGTGACAAAAACGGTTGTTGCGGCTCACCTGAAAACAACGTTTCACAGGATCAACTCTCCGAATATCTTTGCTATGGATGCCGCCTGATACTTAAAGATTCTGTAATTTCCTTTTTTTTTTTTTTTTCATTTAAGAAAAAAAAATATTTTGTTTCAATTTATTTTATTTGGTTTCTAGAAAAGCACGGAGAACTGGCCATCAATTATAAAGACAAATTCTGAATCACAGATTAAAGAGATGGAGGATGAAATTAAAAAATTTCTCATAGATTGAATTATCCTCCAGGCTGACAACACTACCATGGAGATTTTTTTTTAGATTTTCCATTCAGGACAACTATGCTTATTAGTTTCTTGGCTGTATTTGTTAATTCCAGGTCGATCAAATATCCAATTTGGGGAGATTTCTTCTTGAGGTCTGCGGAGCGATGGACCTGTTGTTTGGTCACCATTTCTGATCAACTTGGTCTGAAAGGCCAAAACAGTGAGAATAGGGAATAGTGGCAGAAATCATTTAAAACTGCTAATGATTAAACAATTTAAATCATAGCCCGAGAGAGAGAGAGAGAGAGAGAGAGAAATCAATGCTTTTAGATTGATTGATTATATAAAATTTAAAGTAAATTGTTAACACTGCATTGAACTCTAAAAAATAAATCAAAAAAGTATATTTACGAAGTGCTCTCAATAAAATTTTATCTTGCTTTGCTGTAGAGTAAAGAAGAAAAAATAAACTAATTCTTTTTTTATAGCTTGCGTAAGATTAATGAAGTAACAATAAATCACATCTGATAAAACGTATCAAGTTTGTACTTATCTTAGAAATTGTTAACTTTATGACTGCTCTGTGATTTAGCATAATTTTTTTTTTTTAATTCAATAGATTATAATAGTTATAGTGTTACATTCTGTGATCTAGTGTAAAATTATATTTTATGTATATAAATCGCCTTAACACAATTAGCTTATGACAATATTGAAAGTACAAAATTATATCCTAGCTTTTAGAAGAAAAAAAAATAAAGTTAACTTTTTAAAAATTAGTTGTAAGGGGAAGACATTGCTCTGATTATTTTATAACCCCAAGCATTCCTAGCTTAATTTTAAATTTTGAGTTTAGTTTTTATCGATGATGATGGGAACCAAGTGTTTGGTATTCCACAAGCACACTCCTGTTGGCTTATGGCATTTTTGCTAGTTTCTTTGTTTAGTTCAAATGATTTTTTTTTTTTTTTTTAATAAGTAGAAATTCAGTTTTACATTGCTACGTAGTATTGTGTTCAAAAATAATATGGGTGGTAGTATCTTCCTCTTCTTTGCATAACTTACAAATAGGTGCGGTGTTAAATCACGTTGTGTAATTTCTCAGATGCTAGTGAAAAAAGTAAAGTACTAGCACTCCCCAGTGACCGGTAATATCACTTGCTTGTAACTGGTATATAGCCTTATCACTTGTCAGTGACAGGTATATAGACCTAGCACTCTCTAGTGGCCGGTAATATCCCTATCAATTACCTGAGACTGGTGTATAGCCTTATCATTCGTCAGTGACTGGTATATAGACCTAGCAGCCTCCTAGCACTCCCCAGTGACCGGTAATATCACTTGTCTGTAACTAACTGGTATATAGCCTTATCACTTGTCAGGGACTGGTATATAGCCCTAGCACTTACCAGTGACAGGTATGTAGCATTGTAGCCATATCTAGCCATACCACAGATGTCCGCCCCCTTCCGAACTTGTTCCGATTTTGATAATTCGGAAAATCAAACCAATAATTAAGGAAGTGGGGAGATGGCCATCTTTTATGATACACCCTGTATATTTTCATTTATCTTTATCTTAGAAGGCATTGTCAGATCTGATCGTCACTATCAGCCATAGTTTGTTTAAGTTATTAAGGTTAACAGATTTGCAATCCAGCATATCAAACCTAGAGGTAAATTTGCCTGAATAAGTTTAAAACAAGATTTTCAAGATTTGGTAACTTTATTACATTAAACACAAAGCAATAACAATCAAAAGGAACTAATCGTCTTTCAAAAACAAATGTTTAACTACAAAACAAAAATTGTACAACTGACTAAAATTGACATCAAATAAAACAAAATTGATGTGAATTGTATAATATATTATCACAGTATAATCAATTGGTTAACAAGTTACAGAATCAATGAATCAACACCCAATTAGAAGGATGATTGTACGCCATTAGAATTGGAAGATGGAGAACGTACGACCAATTTTCGTCTTTCATCCTGGTCGTCAGCTGGATCCATTCGTTCAGCCATATGACCGTATCTTCTGAGTTCATGTTCGTCGGATTCAAGCCCCTGAAAAAACACGCCTAAAAAAAAATTAAATTGTAATTAAGAATAGATGTACATTGAATTGTCAGTACGTACTTTTCTGACGTCTTCGTATGGTAGTGAATTGACACCGCCCTCATTTATAATGGCTTTGTCCAAATAAACTATCAACCTGGCCCTTTCAATCAGCCTTTTCCTTCTTCTCAGCCCTAAATGCATGTTGTGCATTTTAAGAAGTGATCGCTATACAAAGAAAAGTATAGATTGTAGCATATATGTGTACATAAATACACACATACTTTTCTTCACTTACAATATGCCTAGGACTTAAACAATCAATATCGTAAACTTCCCCGTTGCAAAAGAGGATCTGACTTTCATGTATTTTCTCTGAATTCGGATGTAAACCACTGCCAAGCTGTGCAATACATTGCTTCCATACCGGTTTCGTGGGATGCCCTTTAATCAAGTGCATTTTCGCCTGTAAGAATCGAAAAACAGGCTTGTAACTTGCCAGCTTTATTTTCTGTTCGAGCACTGCAAACCGAGCTCTCTGCTGTAAAGTCCAAAACTGTCTCGACAGGAGATGTCGAGGAAAAAAATATCTAAAAATTCAAAGCGTATAAACAATCAAGCTGGATGGAGTTTCTATTTGAATACTGACTTACGCTATAGGGAATGCAACGTAATTGGCCAAAGGTAAAGCCGATATTAGCAAAACTGGAGCCACTTTCATCATGTCTATCGGCATTTGGTGATTCAGTTCTAACTCTTTTCTCGTCAAACATGATATATCGTTAAAAGTTAATTTTCTTTTTATTTTTATAAACATCTTCAGGTCTTGGTAAAAGTCCTAAAACACCATAAGAACAGTCAATCTTCTCCAAAGAAACTAAATCCTAGGTATAACCCTGGAAAAAGCTCAAGTGGAGAAATCATATAAGCAACACACAACATACTAAGCATTAGTCAGAGATGCAGCAAAAACGGAGGGAGTAAGAATGTAAGAGTGTCAATATTACTTTAACTATCATTGCATAAGAGACCCTTCAGACAGTGAGGAAGGTTTGAGGGAATTAGTCAGAATGCAAGTTTTCGGAGGTACTGATTCAGTGATTGGTAGGATTTGTGAAATTTTTTAATTCATTTTGGACAAAAGGATTATTTAAGTGTATGTGTAGTTTCGTTCAATACAAAAATGGAGCATCAACAATTTGTCATAAGATTTAGGTTTGGAAGTTCGATGCAGTAGATGTATGTTTTACCTACTTAAGTAATGTTTCCTGGCTAAACACCAATCCTATGTCCAATCGGGCATAAGAATCTATTACCCACATGCATATTTGCCTGACGTGACTCAGCGCCACCCTATGCAATATTTTGTAATCAAAATACCCACTGCACAGATTTTTGTCAAGCACTGGGTGACTGTCGTAGGAATGTGTGCTTACATCAAACTGATGTGAACACCCCACCAACATGTATGTGCTAAGGGGTCAGGTCATGTTGCATTGCAATGTGCTGGTATGTTTTTCTTAGTTAGATAAGGTTTCCTGGCTCAATGCCTGACATCACACAGTGCTACTCTACACAATATATTGCAACTGAGATCCACACTGCCCAGATTGTTGTCTAGCACTGTGTGACTTTTGTAGGGCATGTGCTTATTGAACAGATATGGACACCTCACTAACATGCGATAACGCATCAGACCATGTTGCATTGCACAGCATCAGGTATGTTTTACCTGCTTAGCTAAGATTTCCAGGCTCAACGTTACCAGACGCCAACACTACGTCCCATTGTCCATAAGGATCTATTACCCTCCTGCATTTTTGCCACACAGCCACTCTACGCAACATGTTGCAACCAAGATCCACACTACCCAGATTTTTGTCGAGCACTGTATGACTATCATGGCATGTGCCTACATCAAACTGATGTGCACACCCCACCAACATGTGCTAAGGGTTCGGGTCATGTTGCATTGCAATGCGCTGGTATGTTTTATCTGCTTAGATAAGGTTTCCTGGCCCAATGTCTGACATCACACAGCGCCATTCTACACAATATGTTGCAACTGAGATCCACACTACCCAGATTTTTGTCGAGCAGTGTGTGACTTTTGTGGGGCATGTGCTTATCGAACAGATATGGACCTCACTAACATGCGATAAAGCAGCAAACCATGTTGCATTGCACAGCATCAAGTATGTTTTACCTGCTTAGCTATGATTTCCAAGCCCAATTTAATTTCCATAAAGATCTATTACCCACATGCATTTTTGCCTGATGTGCCACAGTGCAACTCTACGCAACATGTTGCAACCCGACATCTCCCAAACATTCAATAAGGTGTTGGGTTACGTTGCATTGCCTTGCATCTCGTAAGTGTTTCCTTCTTTAGCCTGACTACTTGTAATAAAAAATGTTATATCCAAATAAAACTATCTATATATAAAATCAAAAATGCATATGACACTTGCATAACTTGCGAATAACAAAGCTACAGAACTGTTTTATGCACTGAAATACCTGAAATCCAACTTTGAATATCTTGTATACCCTGATGGCCGTAGGGAACTTCTTTTCAAGTTTGTTCTCATAGCTCTTGATAAACTCGACATAGGATGAAAAGACGTATTTCTTAACAGCGCTGAGCCCTTTGGGTGAATGGTTCTCAGTCGATAAGAATCTAATATCCCTTGAGCAAATAAAAAATATGCCAAAAAAATATAAAACGACGTAAAATGAGATGATACCGGGCTGTAATTGTTATACAAATCCTGACCTCGGTTTCACACTGGGGACGCAGAAAAACTTTCTCCTTGCTAAGCTTAAAGTTCTAACTGCGAACATTTCACGCCAGTTTCAAAATCGGGCTAAATTCATGTTCCGGTGAAGAACGGCCAGACGACGGCCTAGACGCTTCTGTGTTGTCAATTTATGTGGTGGTACTCAAAATAGATTTTGATATGAGATAAACATGAAATAAACGCCATGGTAGGTTCAAGTTTTGTTATCACCGCCCGCGGTGCGTTATCAAAGTCAACGGACGATGACACAGCGAGACGCAACGGCTTAGTTTCCTCACTCCGAAGTTTACGCATCGATACTTACTTCGTTCCCAGTATCGAGAGAATGGCATCAGTACTTTCAAACTAAAGGTATATCTAATACGAAGCCTAACATTTGGTAGTACATGCACATCGCAATTATATTTTTTCAAGAAATTTTAATTACACTATTAGACAAATTTAACAAACCCTCAATTTATTTAGTTTAAAATTAATCCACCATTTTCTACATTAATTACAAGTAATTAGGAGCTACCGTAGACAAAATGTACAGTACGTAATGCTTTGTTCATTTTTGTATAATCCCATTAGCTCAAAAAGTACCATTATGGACATCCAATCTGCTACCCCTAAAAGATCGCTTTCAGCTAATATTTTTCCTTCCTTGATTTCATTTGATATTGTTCTTATTCTTAAACCTATTTCAATGGCTACAGAGAGTCATTTAAGTATGACAATGACATGGTCATAAAATTATTAGATACAGCTAAGGCGAATTCGCCAGGAGACTGAGTGTAAATCAGACCCAATATGAAGATCATCTTCAGCTCTTCAGAGAAATAGGACTTCACACTAGAAGGCCAGCACAGGGTCGACGTAGTTCTATAGACGAGTGAGACGTTAGATTCATGCATCATCATGCTCTACGAAACCGCAGCATTACTGGTATGAGGTAAGAAATCTCATAAAAAGGAGAAAGACAAGTTTGAAATTTTTCGATTTTCTCCAGCACTGAAAGTTCAATGAATATAACCTCAGGGCCTGGCACCCGGCTTCTTACCTCAGCTCAGAAAATGTCCAGGCGTATGGGTACATGTGAATTGGACGTTGGAAGATTGAGAACGAGTTTTCTTTACAGAGGTGAAAGTTGGCCTCAAATCTTCAGATGGGCGTAATTTCATATGGGGACGCTCAGGAGAAAGATACGGCCTATGGTGTCTGGTTCCTAAGGTGGCATACCACGGTGGGTCATTAATGCTCTGGGGTGGCAATTCCTTGGACGCCAGCACCGAATTGGTTGTTGTGCGGGGATGATCTTTAACTCTACAGAGGTACATACAAGAAATAACCGAAAAACGTGCCATTTCAAAATGCCATTTCCCTCCCACAGCAGTGAGAGATTTTTGCTATTTCAGCATAATTCCAGGCCCCATAGAGCAGGTATTGGGGACGACTGCCTGAATGAGGTTGGAATTGATTGCTTGGTGTGACCAGCTCGAATTCCAGATTTGAACCCAATCGAATTTGAGACCAAATTAAGCGATAAGTACGACGGCGTAACTCAGGTCCTTACACCTTGGAACGTCTGTTCTTCTTAAATGGGAAAGAATTCCTCAAGAATTTACCAGAAAACATTTCCAAGGAATGCAAAGGCGTTTAACGGAAGTGATTCGTGCCAGAGGCGGAAATACTCGGTATTAAAGGGGACAAAAAATTTTTTTTACGTTTTTGTCTTTGGATTTTTTCCCTATTTCTGAGCAATTGTTTTTTTCAAAATGAAGTAATAAACATTTCTTTTTAAATATCTTATATTAACAACCAAACATATTTTTGGCATGCAAAACATGAATAAACCTAAATAGATAAAATTTAAGGATGTGCGTTAATTTTGTCCATTAGTGAAAATTAATTTGCTTTAAAAAAGTTGAATTTAATCGATGAAACAATATGATTCAAAAAATTATTTTTTAAGAAATATAATTGGATTTGTAGAAAAGTTCAATTGTTGGAAGAAAAAAAAAACTTAATTTGAAGTAGTTTTGAGAAAATATAACGACTTGAAAAAGTTCGCTGACAGAACAAGTATAATTTATTTTCAAAAATATAATGATTACAAAAGAAACTCATTTAAAACCAATTTAATTTGTTATTTAAAAAAATTAATTTAGTTGGAAAAATCTTAATTTGGATCGAAAAAGTAGTTCTAAGAAAACCATGATTTGAAAAAAGCACTGATTTAAAATAAGTTTATTCTGTTTTTAAAAAAGTTCAATTTCGTTGGAAAAAAACGAAAATTGGTATGAAAAAAGATTACTTTGGTTTTGAGAAAATTTATCATATTGAAAAATTTTCATTTTCATTTTTTTTTAATTCTTTCGTTTAGAAAGTTTAATTTTTTTTCCTGAAAAGTGTCCTTGCTTTAGTCGGCCGTTGGATAATCAATTGCTAATTTTAAACTTATGTTGAGGTGAGCGGCCCCAAAAGAAAAGTCCAAATGCTTCGTTCAAAACATTTATTGACACGTTTCGGACGTCTCACGTCCTTCATCAGTACATAATCATTGTTTTTTGTTTTTTTGTGTCAGTAACACCCTTTCCGGCGTCCCAGACCACCAGCAATTTATTGTTTTTCGTTCTAGATGTGTTACTGACACAAAAAAACAAAAGACAAAAAAATAATGATTATGTACCTGATGAAGGACGTGAGACGTCCGACGTTGTCAATACATGTTTTGAACGAAGCATTTGGACTTTTCTTCTGGGGCCGCTCACCTCACTTAAGTTTAAAATTAGCAATTTTCGTGAAAAGATTTCAGAAAATATAAAGATTTGAAAAAAAGATCACTGATTTAGAACGAGATTAATTTCGCTTTGAAAAAAGTTCACTTTAGTTACAGAAAAACTTAAATTGATCTGAAAAATTAGTTTGGTTTAGGATAAGATTAAATTAGGTTTGAGAAAATTCAAGTTAAATTTAAAAAAAGTTCATTCGTTTGTGAAAAATATTAGAACCTTGTTTAATATATCAAATGTACATGTTAAAAATATGATTTGTTGGAGAAAAAAAATTGTTTTTTTTGTTCCTTTGTTTAAAAAAAATTCAATTTGATTTGAAAAAGTTCAATTTCCTTTCCAGAAAATTTTAACGGGATTGGAAAGTTTTATCACCTGGCAAAGGTCAAATTAAATTGAAAAGTTTAATTGGTTCAAAAAATTCCAATTTCTGATGTTTTAAGCGGATGCGAAAAAATTAATTTAATTTCTAAAAAGATTAATTTGCTTTAAAAAAAGTTCGATTTAATTGTAGAAACTTAATTCGGTTCGCAAAAGTAATTTAGTTTGGAAAGGTTAATTTTGCTGTTAGAAAATTCAACTCTAATTGTTAATGTTCATTTTCCTTTTATTTATAAAAAATTTAATTCGTTTTTAAAAACATTAGAAACATTATGTGATAGAAATATATTTAGGAGGAAAAAAATGATTTTCTTTGTTCAAAGTTATTTCGGAAATATTCCAATTTGATTTGGAAAAAAATTCAATTTGGTTTTTAAAAAATTTAATGAACTGAAAAAGACATTTGGAAAAAGTTGGATATTATTTGGAAAAAGTTCAAATTGAATTGAAAAATTTAATTTGGTTCGAAAAATTTTACTTTGACCTAAAAAATATCCAATTCAGTTTCAAATTTTTTGAGGAAGTTTAATTTTATTTTTAGAAATAAAATTCGACCCGATTTGAACTGTTTAATTCCTTTGGATTTTTTTTTCATTTGGAAACTGCTATACCGATCACTTGATTTACAAAAAAAATAGATTTTTAATCTAAATGTTCAAATTTGATTTGGAAACCACCAATTGAATTCCCATAAAGTTCGATTTGATCTGTAAAAATTTTAATTTAATTTTCAGAAAGAAAATTCAACGCGATTTGGAAAAAAAGTTCAATTTTATTGAAAAAAAAAATCCAAATTTAATTTTGAAACTACCAATTGGATATCCATAAAGTTCGATTTGATCTGGAAAAATTTTAATTTAATTTTCAGAAAGAAAATTCAGCGCGATTTGGAAAAAGTTCTATTTCTTTCGAAAATTTTCATTTTGAAACTGCTACCAATCACCTGATTTACAAAAAAAATTTGATTTTTAATTTAAACGTTCAAGTTTAATTAGGAAACTATTAATTAGATTTCCACAAAGTTCGATTAAATATGGGCGAAGTTTAATTTGATTTTAAGAAAGAAACTTCAACGCGATTTGGAAAAAAGTTCAATTTTATTGAAAACAAAAGATATATATTTGGAAAATGCTATCATCGATTTACAAAAAAATTAATTTGATTTTTAATCTTAATCTTCAAATTTAATTAGGAAACTACCAATTAAATTTCCACAGTTCGAATTGATCTGGAAGAAGATTAATCTGATTTTCGGAAAGAAAATTCAACGTGATTCGGATAAAAGTACATTTTTTCGAAAATTTTCATTTTGAAACTACTACCAATCATTTGATTTACAAAAAAAATCAATTTGATTTTTAATCTAAACGTTTAAATTTTATTAGGAAAGTACTAATTGGATTTCCATAAAGTGCCATCTGGAAGAATTTTAATTTGATTTGCTGAAAGAAAATTCAATATGATTTGGCTAAAATTCAATTTCTTTGGAAAAATTTTCAAACATGAGTTTAAAAAAAAATAATTTGATTTTTAATTTAAAAGATTCAATTTGATTCATTAAATTAAATTCATTAAATTTCATTATCATCAAAATCATTACTGTTCTCTTGGAAATAGAACTTTTATTTTTTATTGAGGATGTGATTTTTTTTTTTTTTTAATTCCTAAATTCTTAAACACTTGGCCTGCGTTTCTTTCCTTTGACTGTGTCATACGTGATGTCACGACTGCTCAGTACTTCCCTTTTAGGGCTACCTTCGTCCCAAATCAGGTAGGTTTCTAGCATTCAATAAAATCAGTTTTTTTTCCAAACAACGTGAAAATCAAGTTTTTAACTTTGAGCAAACGCCAACTGATTTAAATCCATTTAACCTATCTTGGAAATTTTTTTTGAATTGAATATTTCTGTTTTTCATTTCAACGAATGTTGTTATAATTCGAGTAAGTGGTTTCTCTGATCTTTGACCATAAAGCAATATTTTTACTCTTAGATTATTATTAATTTAATTTTTTGTTGCTTCAATGTAATGTAAGATAAGAACAAGACACATAAGAAAACATAAAATAATTATTATCATGGCATTCATGCCATATGATTATTGTTTTTGAAGTGTTTCTTTTTTTTTCTGCTTAGTCATTCACTAATAAGCCTTTTGAGGGTTTTCAATATATATAGCTAGGTTTACCATTTTGTTTTAACCGTGAGTATTCCAAATGTCATCATTTTTAGTTGTTGTAATTAATTATCCCGCTGTTCATGTACTATTTTTTTATAACGCAAGGTGAAAAAGGAATAATTTTGAGAAATTTTGAACTTGTTTGATTTGATATCATGTCCGAGTGGCTGTTGTTATACAGGGGGTGATTCGCTATTTGTACGACTGTGTTCGTCGGGTGCTTCTACACCTCAAATGCGACAAAAAAGTTCGCACGAGCCACGGTCAGATGCTCAACCCTTTGGAACTCGTCGGCAATAGTCTTTTCCACAATAGCCTGCCTATTGTGGCAAAGTCTATTTCCAATCTGTCATCTTAGTATGGAGTTCCACAAAACCTGGGTAGACACCATCAAAAAACCATTTGCACGTACTCAACGTTTTGTTTTTTTCAAGTATCTACAATTTTTGCCATAAATCTATCTGTAGCCCTTGAATTATACATTTTTGGAGAAATAAATAAAAAAAATATTGAAAAGAACGTTAAATTTACATTAAGAAGGCACCCTTTGAGATTTAAAAAAACACTAATTATTCCAAACCTGCTAAATTTAAAATAAGTAAAAAAAATGTTGCGTTGGAAAAATTTATGATTTATGAAATTTATGAGCTTGGCAAAATTCATAAAAACTTCTTTGTTTAATAAGTTTTTTTGCAGTCTCCCTTTTTTCTTTTAATTACATTGAACCAAAATGCAGAAATTTTATGATAAATGGGGTAAAAAAGGGGGCGACGGTGTGAAAAAGAGGTCATGGGGATTTATCTAGTAATTCAACTTCTTGTCTTGGGCAAAATTTATCTCCCAACTTAAACTTAAAAAAAAAAGCACAGAAAGGAAGAAAATGATATAGAACACATTGTAATTGTGCCAAAAACTATTTCCATCCCTTCATCTTATTATGGAGTTCCACAAAATCTGGGTAGACACCATCAAAAAACCATTTGCACGTACTCAACGTTTTGGTTTTTTCAAGTATCTACAATTTTTGCCATAAATCTACTTGTAGCCCTTGAATTATCCATTTTTGGAGAAATAAATAAAAAAATATTGAAAAGAACGTTAAATTTACATTAAGAAGGCACCCTTTGAGGTCTTCCAATTTAATTTTGGGTAAAAAATACTAAAATATTTTTAAAACTGCTAAATTTAAAGTAAGTAAAAAAATGTTGCTATCTCGTTGGAAAAATTTATGATAGAGCTTGGCAAAAATCATAAAAACTTTGTTTAGTAAGTGTTTTTGCGGTATACTCTTTTTTTTAATTACATTGAACCAAAATGCAGATATTTTATGATAAATGGGGAAAAAAAGGGGGCGACGGTGTGAAAAAGAGGTCATGGGGATTTATCTAGTAATTCAACTTCTTGTCTTGGGCAAAATTTATCTCCCAACTTAAACTTAAAAAAAAAGCACAATAAGGAAGGAAAATGATATAGAACACATTGTAATTGTGGCAAAGACTATTTCTATCCCATCATCTTATTATGGAATTCCACAAAATCTGGGTGGACATCATCAAAAAAACCATTCGCATATATTCAACTTTTTATGTTTTTTCCACGTATCTATGGTTTTCATCATACACCTACTTGTAGCCCTAGATTTATATATTTTTGGAAAAATAAAAAAAAACATTCAAACGAGTGTTAAATTTTCATTAAAAAGGAACCTTTTGAGATTTACAAAAAAAAAAAAAAAAAAAAAAATTGAGGAGAAAAAGGGGGCGACGTGTGAAAAAGAGGTCATGGGGGTTTATCTAGTAATTAAACATCTTGTTGTGGGCAAAATTTATCTCCCAACTTAAACTTTTAAAAAAAGCACAATAAGGAAGAACAATGATAGAAAACACATTGTAATTGTGGCAAAGACTATTTACTTCCAACCCATCATTCTATTATGGAATTCCACAAAATCTGGGTGGTCACCATCAAAAAACCATTTGCATATATTCAACGTTTTATGTTTTTTCCACGTATCTACGGTTTTCATCATACACCTACTTGTAGCCCTAGATTTATACATTTTTGGAAAAATAAAAAAAAAAGAATTCAAAAGTGTTAAATTTACATTAAAAAGGAACCTTTTGAGATTTACAAAAAAATAAAATAAAAAATTAAAAAACCTAAATATTTCAACAACTGCTTAATTTAAAATTAGTAAAAAAAAAGACATGCAATCTTGTTGGAAAAAATTTAAGATAGAGCTTGGCAAAATTCATAACAACTTCTTTGTTTAGTTCACTAGTTTCGTGGTCCGCTTGACCAATTAATACATGACAATTAATTAAGGGTTTTAGTTGAGATAAAAAAAGTCAATGGCACGAGCGGGACTCGAACCCACGACCTTCGGCCGCTGCTCTACCACTTGAGCTATCGTGAACTCGATCTACTCGGACATCAACTTCCCATCTCAACCACACCTTTTGAATTTTCCCTCCTTTTTACCATTTTTCAATTGCAATTTTTCTTCTTTGTTTAGTAAGCTTTCTTGTGGTATACCCTTTTCTTTAATTACATTGAGCCAAAATGCAGACATTTTATGATAAATGGGGAAAAAAAGGAGGCGACGTGTGAAAAAGAGGACATGGGGGTTTATCTAGTAATTCAACTTCTTGTCCTGGGCAAAATTTATCCCCCAACTTAAACTTAATAAAAAAAAAAAAAAACACAAAAAGGAAGGAAAATGATATAAAACACATTGTAATTTTGGCAAAGACTATTTAAAATTAGTAAAAAAAAAAAAGACTGCAATCTTGTTGGAAAAATTTATGATAGAGCTTGGCAAAACTAAGTTTTTTGTAATTTATTTCATAAAATTCATAAGTTCATTCATAATTTGTTTAGTAAGCTTTCTTGTGGTGTACTCTTTTCTTTAATTACATCTATCCAAAATGCAGAAATTTTATGATTAATGGGGAAAAAACTGGTGATAGCGTGAAAAAGAGGGCATGGGGGTTTATCTAGTAATTCAAGTTCTTGTCCTGGGTAAAATTTATCTTCTAGCAAAAGCACAAAAAGGAAGGAAAATGATACAAAACATAAAAAAGACAATAAACACTCTCAAGTAGAGGAAAAGACAGTTTTGCCTTCCTCTGTACATAAACAACAAGGAGCTACTGACTTCCACTTAAGTCAAATACCTAGGACTATATCTACACAGCAGATTCACACGGAATCCTCAAAAACGTAAGATACAACTGACTTAACAGAAGACTGACAGCTACAAAGAATTTTAGGATGTAGTTGTGAACATCGAAACCATCTAACACAATACGATGCATTTCTACGACCATTTTAGACGTACGAAGTAGAACTGTGGGGTTCTGCCAAGGTCCCTCTGCATCCAATTTTTTTAATTGAAAGCGCTCAAATAGTCAAAGCTCCTTACCACGTCACTATCCATGACCTCAATAGCCTTTTGTCCAATGCTTCCAAAAATTCAATACCAACCATCCTAACCATTCTTCCCAAACCATGTCTTCACCTTCCTTTCTAAGAACTGAATTGGCCTTAATTGATTTTGAGATCTCCTCACCCCTTAATGCCTCGTATTGAGTGTCAGCATTGGCTGGTCTCTTAATTATCTGTGTTTGTGAGAAAAAACACATATTTGTTATTTGTATTTTGGTTTGTGTAGCCTTTAAATAAATTATTTTAAAAAATAGTTTTCATATATTTATCAAAGTACTCAGGTCAATAAGATTTTGTATCATAGTAACATTTAATTGACTATTTCAGGTTATGCGAATGGCTGATGATTCCCAAGCAGGTGATGCTGAGTATCGTAAGTAGTGGGCTTTGAAGTAGAACTTCTTGGGATAAACCATTTTTTTAAATATATTTAATAATTTAATAGTAAACGTTATTTTTATAGAATCCCGGTATAGGTACCAGATTCCGAGCAATGTCGTCGTAAATAGTCCAGAAGCGAATTATAAATTTAGCCAATCAGGGGTTTTTCCCAAAAATATCCACGTGAATCCTCTCTGTAGCAGAAACCTGCTAATTAACAAGGAGAAGTTTGTAACTGCTAATTATGAAAGCTCGAATCTGGGTAAAAAGTTGGTTAAGAAAAGTGAGAACAAAATTTATTACAATCCGAAGTTCTTGCAATGCCAAGTTACCAAGTATCCGGGTGAAAGCGGTAAAATGGAAAACATTCACATAAATCCGACGTACTTGCACTCCTCTTCTAGTATTAAGCAGCCCTCTGTGATACATGTCAATAGGAATTTTTTAGTCGATACAAATACAAATATTCGACTAGCTAAATCTGTACCTGATCCTACAAAACACTTAGTCCTGCAAAATTCTTTGTATCAGAATGCGCATGGCACGAAGCTTCCTCCAGGAGAAAACATACCTTCCATAGCACCCAACAAAACAGGGCCTTCAAAATACAAATATATAAACAGGACTGTGGTTGAAAACAAAAACCCAGGACAGTTACAAGGAGTGAAACTCAAAACAAAATATTCAATAAGAAAAACCACTCCTCTGAACAAAGCTGAGTACAATTCAATTTACACTCGTAAAATTGAAAAAAAAGTATCATCTGAATTTAAGAGGATCAATGCTCGGAAGATAATCAGAAGGTCAATCTTGAAGGCGAAAATTGAAAAAAGTAAAAAGCAAGCCGGTAAGCCTCAGTTGAGAAGGTCTCTTGTTACTCGGTACAAAGTAATAAGGACGAATCGCACATCAAAGAAAGATATTTCATTGGCTAGCAATTCCACATCAAGCGGAGAGTTCAGCAGAGTAAGCACGACGAAACTTATAAGGAAATCTGTATTGCAACAGCACATCGAAAACAGAAGACAAGTCAGAACTAACGTACCGAAAATGTCGATCCTTGATCTCACATGGCTTAACACAAGTCTTAAAAATAAGTCTGCTAGTAATCACTCGTTTTGGAAACACAAAGCTAAAGAGCCGGCAGGGAAAATTGGAAGCAAGCATGCGAAGCAAAATCAGTATGTTAAATGGAAAACTTTAAGTAACAGGTGGACTTTAGGTTCTTTAAATTTCTTTTAACACTTTAGGTTAAGGAATAGACGCATTATCCACAACCTGACCAAGTTGCTGAGGAAGAACAATCAGCATTGCGCGTTTTTCAACAGATTCGGAAGGTGCAAAGGGAAGGACAAGGGCACATGCACAAAGATCCATGACCCAAAATATGTGGCAATTTGCAGGAGGTGAGTTCTATTATAAAAACAATAGGTGAAAGGAATTTGCTTTGGCTGAATATTATGATAAATATACATACCACTTGAATACTAGGCCAGAATACTGTATAATTTATGTACAGTGAATGTACAAATATTATTCCTTCTATTTATTTATTTTTTTATGATTTTTATGGGATTTATCTAATGTGTAGGTATAGATATAATCCAATCCGATTACACATTTGAAAAATGGGAAAAAGGAGGGAAAATTCAAAAGGTGGGGTTGAGATAGGAAGTTGGTGTCCGAGTGGATCGAGGTCACGATACCTCAAGTAGTAGAGCAGCGGTGTATCTAGCCGAAGGTCGTGGGTTCGAATCCCGCTCGTGCCATTGACTTTTTTTCTCAACTAAAAACCTTAATTAATTGTAATATATTAATTTGTCAAGCGGACCACGAAATTAGTGAATTTATAGATATAATATTCGGGGTGAAAGCAGTAAGTGTAACCACAGTTTGTTAAAAGGTGCATTGGTGTCTCTTCTGATTCCTTGGAAAATCTGCATGTACCACATTGCCTATTCACTTTGCATTGTCCCATTAGGATTCAGTTTTTCCTGCTTCTTCTGATGCATTCTGTTACTTCTTTCGTTCTCACTGGAAGATTCTTGGTTTGTTTGTGTCCAATGAGTGAATTCCACTGTTTCCTCCTTTTCGACCTGTCTTTGTTTCTAACAAGACTAGTAGGTGCGTTGGTGTCTTCTGCTTCCTTGCAGAATCTGAACATGTTGGTTTATACTAATCTTCCTGAAATGCTTGTTCAGTCCACAGTGTTCTATTTTTCCTGCTTCCTTCGAAGCATTCTGTTGCTTCTTTCCTTATGAAACTCACTCGAAACCTCTTGTATTGTTTCTTGTGAGTGAATTCTGCCATTTCCAAGTTTCGTATTGTCCTGTCACTCCATACCGATGGGCTGAAAATCTCAGCAGTATAGCAGCCTGCTCTCTTGTTTCCATCTACTTCTATATTTCCTGGGTCCCAGCAGAGAATTAATTTTATTTTCTAATCATAATTTATTTAATTTAATTTTACAATAGTTGATAATGTTTGAGCTTAGTGCACTGATGGCTTCCTTTCTGACATGTTTTTGTTTTTGTACCCTTTGTTCATTGAACTCAGCACTTCTTTCGTGGACTTCGGCCTGGAAGATACTGGCATACTTTCCCATGGTTCTGAGTATTTGGTTTGTGTCGAACCCTCCTGCCCCCTTTCTTGCCTTCCAGATCCATCAGTGTACCAGAAGTGCAGTTATCAACGGGCGGGTCTTTCCCTTTTCCTTTTTTGGTATTTTTTGGTACTTATGTCTGTCCGAAAATTTTGTTCGACAAACATCCTGTTCATGTCTTCCTTATCAATCTTTTATGGAAGTCAAATTCAATATTGGGACGTCGGTGGTTGCAACAGTTTAGGCGTTGATACGGTGCTCATCACAGTAAGGTCCCAGGTTCAAATGCAGGGCCACTGGACTTACTTACAAATGGGCTTTTTTTTCTTTCCCCCCCCAAAAAGCACTAGCACCCTGAGGGCTGATATAACCTCTGCTGTTGCGAACCCTCGTTAAAATTAAAAAAAAAATCAAAATCATCAACTGGATTTTTTCTTGGATTTATTAACCATGGAACTTATTCAGCAATTATTGCATATTGAAAATTCATTTTGTGGAATAATCATTAGTTGTTTTTTTCAGTGATTACTCTTTCTAATTAGTAGAAGGGGTAAATTAAAACTTAGACAGTATTAGAAAGAATGGAGAAGTCTTAGTTATTTTCTCTCTTTATTCTTGTTTAGAATTTGATACCTTTTGTAATAATGTTTAGATTGCTCCAAGGGGAGTGCAGTAATAAAGATTGCTTGCTGTCTCATGACGTTAGGCCTGAGAAGATGCCGACATGCTTGCACTACTTGGCCGGGCTGTGCAAACGAGAAGACTGCCCCTTTTTGCACATAAAAGTGAACGAAAAGGCCCCAGTCTGTACATATTTTCTCCAGGGGTTTTGTGCCGACGTTTACAAAGTGAGTCAAAGCGATAACGTTCACATTTGTTTATTCATACGTTTTGGAATTTCAGTGCACAAAGAGGCATGAATACATTTGCCCGATATTCGCCGAAATGGGCAGCTGTCCCAAAGGTAAGTCATGTGTGTATCCGCATAAGTCGCGTACAATTAAGTCTAAGCTGCTCGAGACGGACCAAAAGCCTCTGATACTGAAGCGTAAGAAAGCGAAGGCGTTGGTACGAAGAGAATCTGAAGCAGGTAACGAGCAAACACCAGTTTCAAGTGATGTTGGTAAGTCTGAAGAAAAGTCCCAATCAGAAACCAACAGAGATTCAGAGCCCAAACCATTTACACGCTATTTTTCAATGCCGTTTGCTTTCGATCCATCATGTGATAACGAAAAAGACTCATCAAGTGATGATGATGATGGTGATTCTGATTCCGATAATTCTGTTGAAAGTAGCGATATAAAGTTAGAAGTTGATCTCTAATAAAAATAATCAATTTGTTTTTAAGATTATTTATATATCTCTTTACAACTAAAGAGTTGAGCGTTGTTGCCGTTTTTTGAAAATGATTATTTACCGTTAGACAATGTGAAGAACAGAGGTGCTAGATTTTAATGACAAGTTCCTTTATTGTAATGGTTCAGTTTATTGAGCAATACTTGTGACTAAAAAGCTCTACGATTTTTTTCTTTTTTTTTTAAATTGACTGTTGATTTCAACTGTAACGTACTTATTTAGCCAAAATTTAGCCTTATTTAATCAAAATCAGTTGTTAGCATTTCTATTATTTCACCAGATGACAATGAAACTGAGTTTTTAAAATAAAATTAAAATAGTACAATAAGAAAAAGCTCAAGTGTGCTTAGGATTATTTCCTAAGCTGTACAAAGAGACATGTGCTCGGTGAAACTTTTATTAATGGTATTGTCAATTCTTTAGCATTTGTTGACCAGGGCCCATCGTCGAACCGGAAAATATTTATAAAACATCTTTTATGAATAAATCTATTTTTGAAGTGTTATTATTGCATTTGAAAGGTCAATTATCTGGCTGTTTAATTTGTCTTTCTATTGTAAATATATAAAGTATGTAAAACTTGTTTTTGTTATATTATTTTTGATACAAATAAATTTATTTGAATAAAATTGTGTTAATTATTTTTTCCTTGAAATACATTAGTCATAAATTAAACAGAAAAAATTAATTTTTGTGTATTGTGAGTTGAGCAATTTCTTCCTATAACAACACTCACCAGGGGGGAAATTATGAGGCCTTAGGCACTTAAGGCGTCTTAAGAAGATCAAGAGTTTAGGGCAGATGTTGGGAGTTGGGTTAAAGCTCTAAATTATGAATTCATGTTTTCTTTTATTTTCGAGGACAAATGAATTTGGAGGTCTATGTTGATGTGATTTAAAGAGCTTTGGCAATAGTTCAAAAAATTTAGTACTATAGTGGCTGGATTTGGAGTTTGGAACGCTTGGTTCGACACAAACAGTTGAATATCGGACTTCCAGATTAGTTGTATTAATGTGTACACGAGGTTACAGTTTCTGAGTCTTAACCTCCATTTTGCATCGCTTTAGGTGGTTGGGATGAGGGTCCAGGTTTCTATGGAAGTGTCTGCATTGACTTATGGTGGGATCTGCAGGTCTGGTTGGATATAAAGTGGGGCAAGTACAGTGATTCAAAGATTTAGGACTGGAGTGACTTGATTCTTTGGAGGTTGGAACTCTTGGTTGAACCACACAGTTTAATTGTGTACGTCCTGGTAGTAGTTAAGTCTTTCGAGCAGTCCATTCAAATTTGTTTGTTTGGATGCCACCTGTCATGCCCACTTGAACAGCTCCACAAACGCCCTCAGGTAGCAGCCCTATAATTTTATTTTGTAACTTTCCAGAATGGGTGGTTGCCTTTTATCCTAACAGCAAGGTGGAAATTTAACGTTGGGAGTAAGTAACTAGAAGGGTACAATAATGATGGTAGGAGTTAAAAAAATGATAGTGTAACAACGTCAGTTGATAGTATGCACCTCTTACACCCACAGACCTCAGGGTAATTGGGGTAAGCTCCTCCTTTTCTTAGTATTAATTAATGAAAATTAATTTCCTAATTGGATCGTGGTTTTCTGACAATTGCCACTATAAAAGGCTATTATAATTAAAAAACATTTTTTTGCGGGATATCTTTTGCTTATCTTCCACAAAGAAAATTTCTTCGGATTAGTTTTGAAAATTTTAGAAGTTTAGATGGCAGTACGATGATCGGAAAGTCACGGTCACCACTTCAGTGAAGTGTGGTTGCCACTTGACAGTTGACACTTGACAATGACATGGCGTCGTCATACAGAGTACCGCAAGGTGGCCGGAGACCGGAGTCTCGCTCAGTGGTTGCGATCGACGTCATGGTCCCGAGGTGGTGGTGGCACGGCCGCCTTGGAGTAGGAGATTCCCGTTCATAAGTACCGTTATCGAACAAGACTTGACAGGCTCTCTGCCAGCTCACTAGTGCACTGTCCGGCGGTCGAAAAATGCCCGAGAAGAGTCTGTTCGTCACCTACTTCCTTTGGTTGTTCTTCGGAGTCTTCGGCCTCCACCATTTCTACCTCGGCCGGGACATCCAAGGCTTCCTATGGTTCTCAAGCTTCGGCGGCTATCTAGCCGGGTGGCTCAGGGATTTATTCTACATTCCGAGCTACGTCAAAGCGGCCAACCACGACAGCGACTACATGTCCCAGTTCTCCGATAAAGTCAGAAATAGCAAATCTGTAGGTGTCACGTTTTCCCAGTTTCTTGACGGACAAAATTAATTTTAAAAAATTTTTACAGCCACCTTACTCCTTATGGAGGAACTGCGGTTGTGTCTTCACAGCTTACATCTGGGGATCAATGATCCACATGGCCATACCAAAAGAAGAATTTAGCAACCCTTACACCGATCTTCTGTACCATTTGGTGCCATTGGGCATCGCTTTAGGTAAGTTCAAACAATCTTTAAATTTGCTTCTTACACAATGATGGTCGGTTGGACGGTCCGCGAATTTGAATGAAAAATATTTATAACTTTCTTTTCTTAATTCATTGGTTCAGGTTTTGAGTGTCATGATAAAAACAATATATAAGAGCGATTGATAATTATTTACTAAGAGTACTTGATAAATTCATTGGCATTCTACACCCCAAATGAAAAATTATAAAAGCTTGTCTTGCGGACAGACTTTATACTGTTTAGTGTTTAAACAATATAATTATTTTGCATATTGTTAAGTAATAAAACTCATTTATTATTATTGTTATTACAAGCTTGCCTGCTAGAGAAATTTTACGTATTCCACTATAGCATCAGAAGAACTCAACTATCAATTTATTAAAACTTAAAAAAAAATTACACCTGCAGAAAAAACATAATAATGTTGCATTTAGTGATTTTTTTTTTCAAATTACTGTTTCAATCAATAGCTAAACCAGGTCAATTCTGAGATTTCATCTAGAGCTCATCCGGGTTGAAGAACCTTTAGTTTGGGCATTTCCGCCTGCCAGTCATCGCAGTTTTGGTCTGTCAGATGTGTTTTAGCTTCTTGCCATCTTCATTTACCGTGATCAGATGCATCGCTGAAGACGGTGAGAAGCTGAAATATGCCTCAAAGACCGAAACCGCGAGGATAGGCAGTGTTACATTAATAATGTATAACTCAATAACGAGCTGGCAATTCCAGATTTTGTGCAATTTATAAGAAACTTCCCGCAGGCCTCGAGAATGGGCCACCCTGAGTCATTTCAGCCCAAAAACAATCAGTTTTCAAAACCACTCATTCACCCAGGGTGGAGGAGTATTTGATATTCCTCCATCACCCATCACAAATATTTCGTAAATAATCTAATTGAGTCGTTTGGGTTCTCAACAGTTTACCTACGGTCTCTCTCATAACAACGCTAATAAATACTTTCACTCTCAATACGCACCAAAACAGCCCTTTTCCTCCAAAAATCGGAAAGGTGGTACCAAATATTCGCTGTCGTCCTCATGTACAATTCTCACATCGTGTGGCATTCCTACACGCTCTTTATGTAGAAATAAAGAATGACACACTTCACGTTTATTATGCCGCCTGTCGGCTATGGAAGAATATCAAGTACTCCATCACATCCACACATAATTGAGGGTCGATGGGTACTCAGTATTCTGCCATAAAACAAACTCCCGCTAATAAATACATTCAGTCTCAATATACACAGAGATAAAAGACGAGATATGTATTTATCTTTATAGTGAGTTATACTGCATTACACACAGTAAGACAGTCTTGTTTTCTCTAAAAATCGGAACAGGGGAACCAAATACTCGCTGTCGACTTCATGTACAATTCTCATATCGGGTGATATTCCTACACCCTCTCTATGTAGTACCAAACAATGGCACCCTTCAATTCAAGCAACGTTTCGGACAGATTCACGGGCTTTGGCCCAGAAGTGAGCGTCCGTGTGTCAATCTCTCATGGCCTATTCTTAATCGGGTGAGGATAACCTGTCCTCTGTGTGGAGCCAAATAATGGCACCCTTCATGTCTTCTAGGCCACCTATCAACTATGAAAAAATAGTGCTCTATCACAATCTTCACACTATATAAATATACTAATCTCAATTAGATGGGATATTCAGTATTCCGCCACGCTAGACATTCACGCTAATAAATACATTCAGTTCCAATATACACAGAGAGACAAAAAACGAAATCTCTATCTTTACAGTGTGTATACGGTAAGAAAGTCCTGTTTTATCTGAAAATCGGAACAGAGGAACCAAATACTCGTTGTCGTCCACATGTACAATTCTCATATCGGGTGGCATTCCTACACGCTCTTTATGTGGAGCCAAAGAATGGCACTCTTCGCATCTTCTAGGCCACCTTTCGGCTATGGAAGAATATCAAGTATTCCATCACACTCCGCACATAATTGAGGGTCGATGGGGTACTCGGTATTCTGCCACACTACTCACGCTAATAAATACATTCAGTCTCAATATACATAGAGAGACAAGAGATGAGATCTTTGTAGTGTGTTATACTGTGTATTATACACAGTAAGACAGTCCTGTTTTCTCTAAAATTGGGAAGGCGAACCAAATAATCGCTGTCGTCCTCATGTACAATACTCACACCGGGTGGTATCTTACACCCTCTCTATATAGAGCCAAAGATTGGCACCCTTCAATTCGAGCAACCTTTCGCCCAGATTCTTTGGCCCAGAAGTGAGTGTCCGTGTGTCAACCTCTCATGCCCTATTCTTAATCAAGTGATGATGACCCGTCTCCTGTGTTGAGCCAAAGAATGGCACCTTTCACGTCTTCTAGGCCACCTATCGGCTATGGAGGAATATCAAGGACTACATCACACTCCACACAAATTATAAACTAAGCTAATTGAGGGTCGTTACTCAGTATTCAGTCACTTCACATTCACGCTAATAAATACATTCCATTTCAATATACATAGAGACCCAAGACATTTATAAGTATTGTACACAGTTAAAACAGTCCTATTACCTCTAAAAATGGGGAAAGGAACAAAAAACTCGATGTCGTGCACGTGTACAATTATATCGAGTGGCATTCCTACAAGCTCTCTATATGGAGCCAAGGAAGTTAATTAGTAATATGTAATAAAGTACAACGAACAATAATAACATTTTATTATTAAGAAGTCTGTGGTATACCGTCTTATCTTGTCAAGTTTGTGTATTTTTAATATACTTTTTTTTAAGGTGTATGGTCAGTTGGAAATATAGGACATGAGGAGGGATCTATTAAGTGGCCGCTACTTGCTGCATATGGTTTTTACCCGCTTTATTTATATTATAATGAAGATTGGTCGTTCACACTTATGACCATGGCTAGTACATACGCCTTTGAAATGAAGTCGAAGCAGTGGAAGAGAAAGATCAAGCCTCAAAAAAACTTTCTGCGGTACACTAGTTATATTTTAGGTATGACTTATGAAATTGTGAATCGGTCTTGATAAGAAATACGTAACTGGCAATGTCACAGGAGGGCATCGGTCGTCTTGCTATGCCTGTCTGTCTACTTCGCGCTGTGGACTTCTTCCATTTACTTCAACGCTTCGATCACAGACGACGAAGACAACGAGATTCCTATAAGGGAAGCGATTCACCATTTCTTCACTTCTCCGTGGTGGAACGACTTGAGCCAAAGCCTTTTGGACATCTACAACTACGGCAATACGCACGGATGGGATGAAATCCTGAAAAAGGTCATCGAACTATTGGATCCTCTGGGCGAACAAAACGCATTTAATGTAAGTTCGTAACATTTTTTTTTACACTTATGAGCATTTATTTTTAACAATATTCCATCGAATATTATCTTATCAATTTCAAGATAAAAACTAGTAGAACAATATACAATTTAAAATGTCTTATGTTAGCCTTGAAGAAAAGAACTGATTATTTTATCAATGCCGATTTATTTCATTATAAATAAATATTTAATGAATTTCAAGGAAATAAAATCAATTATAATTCTTCTTTCAATGCAAAGTTGTCATTTGCAATTTTTCTCAGTGCATTTCCGATCTGGAATTTATCGAAAATATTTTTCTTAGGTGCTTGGCCTCTCGGCCGGAGCGAACCAGACTGAGATCAACACCACTTGCCGTAGACTGTCGGTCAAGTACCATCCCGACAAAGTCAAAGACGCCGAAGAAAAAGTCAAAGCGCAGGAAATGTTTTACGAGATTCAACAAGCGTGCGAGTTGCTCTCTTCGAACAGGAAAAAACGAGGGAAAAAGAATAAAAAGTCTGTATGAGACAAATTTCTATACATAATACGATTATCCCGAATAAATTATTTATGTTTTTGATTCGTTGTAATAACACTGAGTACGACGTACAACCGACTGAGCGGATTTTAAATTTATTCATTGACATACTCCTTGCCACGCATTCGAAGTTTTTAAAAAAATGTGATAATGTATATAAAATTTACACCAGTCAATATCTGTAATTAATTTATCACATGTTTTTCTGTAAATATATATTTAAACTACCAAGATTTTTTTTAATCCTTACGATATCCTGCCATTTGAAGTGATATGGAGAGTTGGAAGAGAGACCTGAACCCTCCGCACCAAACGGGAAGAAGAGGTGGAGGCTACTCAAATTTGCCGGGGTGTACGAACAACCAAGGTTCTTGTTGATTGAAAAAGAAAATAAATACTAATAATTTAAAATTTGCTTTTCATACTTGTGATAATAATGATCTGTCCTCTCTTGCCTTTCCCTTTTGCTTACAGTGTTAGATATCCTGGTGTGACATTGAATTCGAATTTGAGATTTAATTTACATCTTTCAATTAATTGTTCTTTTTATGTAAGGTCTTGGTTGAGATATCACGAGCGGGATTCGAACCCACGACCTTCGGCTAATTACGCCGATGGCTACCACACTTGAGCTATCGTGACTTCGATCCTCTCGGACACCAACTCTCTATCTCAACCTACAACGAATTTTCCCTCTTTTTGCCATTTTAAAATGTACAATCAGGATTCGCATGTAGGTTGAGATGGAGAGTTGATGTCCGAGAGGATCGAAGTCACGATAGCTCAAGTGGTATTTAGCCGAAGGTCATGGGTTCGAATCCCGCTCGTGACACTGACTTTTTTATCTCAACCAAGACCTTACAAAAAAAGAAGAATTAATTGAAAGAAGTAACTTTGTCAATTGACCACTAAAACATAAATGGTTTACTTTACATATTGATTCTTTGGTTGCCCGTCTGAGAAAGCTCTTTTATAAATTTAGAATTTTACGCAACTTAATGAAAATTGAACTCTTAAGGGCAATATATTTTTTTCTTGCATAATCCATAAAAGCTTATGATATTGTTTTGTGGGGAGGTACTAATAAATATTACACTAAGACTGGATGGGGGGGGGGTGTCGTGGCCTCAACGATTTAGGCGTTGAAACGGCGCTCATCACAGTAAGGTAAAGGTCCCGGGTTCGAATCCAGCGGCCTGCTTTCGAATCCGACATAGAAATGTTTTTTTTTTTTTTTTTTCAAAAACACCGGCACCCTAAGGGTTTATATGACCTCTGCTGTTGCGAACCCTCGTAAAAAAAAGACTATAATCTCACTTCTTAAACTTATTTACGTAAACCGTATAGATATAATACGAAAAAATTATACAGTGAATTTAAAGTAATGAATCTATACCAAATCTTTCTTAAATATTGATGTTTGTATATATAAAAATAATCTTGCTACAAGTTCCATCAGTGAATATACCACAAGACACAGTTCATTGGCTAACTTACATTTTTCCAAAGTAAAAAAAAAACTACACAATTTTTTTTTGTGGTTCAGATGTAATTTGGTTGGGTTTTTTTCATGCTACTATGTATTATGTTTGTTTATTTGTTTTTAATTTTATATTCATTTTCGTTTTTCAAAGATATATTCTGTTCATTTCTTTGATGATCTCCAAAATCTCCTGCTGTCTAGACAAAACTTCGGCAGGGATGTACCAAAATATTATTTTTTGTTATAAATTTAAATGTAATGTACATTCTTCCCAATATAGATTTATTATTTGGAGATCGTGAGATGCGGTCTGGTGTGACGTAGGTTTTAAAAGACATTTCTTTAACGTGCCAACGTTTCGATCTTTATTGAGATCATCTTCAGGGCTCAAAGTGTTTGTTTTCTGTGTAGAAAGCATCTCTCAACACGACACCCAATAATAACACATCTACACACAAAACAAACACTCAGCCCTGAAGATGATCTCAACAAAGGTCGAAACGTTGGCACGATAAAGAAAATGTTTTTCTAAAACCTACGTCACACCAGACTGCATCTCACGATCTCCAAATAATCATTAACTAACCGTCACTAAACACCACACACGCATTATTATTGTTGTTGAACTATTAACAGATGACTAGTTACTATGTCTAAAGGAGACAGAGCATATCGTAGTAACTGCTCTGCAGGAGCTAGGAAAGGAAGCAATGAAGTCCATACCATGCCCTTGTGAAGAATGAAGTACTTCATTAACTACATGAAAATCGAGAGCTAGGATAAAATAGACGTAAGGTTAAATAAAAAAATTAAGAAATCCTTATAATTCCAAAAGGAAAAATAAATCTTGCATGTTTCTGCCAAAGACTATTTTTACCTTTATTTCTGCTATTGCATTTACTATAATAATAAGAACTACAATAAAACAAGCTGATGATTGCAATAATTGTCCATTATTCATTAACGAATCTTGACATCAAGGCTGATGACGAGTAGGTCAACTGTAGCAACTAAAAAAAATATTTAAATTTAGGCTAATTATTTTGGTAAGTTCAAGTAGGATATCGTACACTAGTTAATGTCGTCAAATTGACCGGATAGAGCTGGACTGCAATTAAAGAAACAGGTCTCAGCGAGCGCACCATTAACATTTGGCCAATTTTTCTAAAATTGGCATCGCCTTTGTACCATTCACCGCTGTAAAATCCCATACCAACTTCTTCGCTCTAAAACAAACACTTGTTAATCTAGATAATTCTTTTCTTTGTTAAAATAAAAGACGGACTGCAGCTTCCAAATACGCTCCGCAGTAGCAATATAGCACATTTTCGACCATACAATACCCGAGGTAAACTACAAATTTGACAGTGAATAACGCATCCTTTGTCCCCTGAAATTAAATTTATTCTAAAATAAGCATATTTAGCAATACTCTATATTATACTTTTTTTTATAAACTTACATAATACTGAAAATGAAAAACTGAAATTATCATAATCAACAGGCCTGTACCAAGTTGGGCAGTTATAAGGAAATTATAAAGGTCTCGAATTTGATCCCCGACCCTGAAAAGTCCGTTAAAATATTTTTGGTTTTGTTAGCTACTTTACACTTTTTATTCACGCACTTCATTGTAAGTTGATGATCTTTTACACAGTTAAGCAAATGGTCGTTCATACGTTTGTTAACAGCTTCCGAAGAGTTGATATCATCTTCCTTAATTTTTGACAGACGGGTTGGTAAATTTCTCTTCACCAAGAAATCCGACCTCCGTATATTGCTGAGCACAAAATTTATGACTTGTATGTGGCCCCAAAGCAGCATGACAAGCTGTATGAGTATGCATTCGTGAAGACTGATGACGAAGCCTGCCCAAGCGCATACTATGAATTCAAAGACGTAGACGCACTCTGACCAAGGTGTTATCGTGTAGTTAAAAGGATATCCTCCTCCTAATATTTTATTCGGTGTGTTTGTTTCCATATTATCTAATTTTATGTTCAATTCCTCTCTGAAGTACTGCGATCTAAGGATGGGAATGAAATTCCAAACTAGGACGCAGATTGCATTCGCGCTGATTCCCGCTATACAAAAATAGTTAGAACGAATTGCAATCTTTTTCATAATTTCTTTCGCCTCTTCTGCTTTATCTTTCGGAATACATCTCAAAAAATCTTTCTTCATCATGTTAAGTATCTGGCATTGGCTGTGCAATCCAAACCAGAATACAAGGACCTTCAGAACCGATTGCAAGCCTGAACAAGGATTTAAAACGAACATAGTCGCCGCTTGAAAGTCGACTTCGCTAAAAAAGATGCTTGATAAGCTGAACATCACATAATGGCCAGGAAAAAGGAATGAGATCAATAGACCAATTTTCAAGAGGATGTTCTTCTTGCCTGTCACTCGATAATCATTGATAATCTTCCACAATCCAGAATACTTCATGTAATTAACACTAAGCCCCTCAACGAGGTCCGATTCCTCTAACGGCTCCATTGCTAATGGCCGCTATTAGAGCATTAGACAACATATATAAAATTAATAGGTACAAACTTTAATAACCAATCATAGTAAATGGAATAGCAAATGGCAAATGGTAACTAACTACTATCTTGTTTTCTATAAATTTTAAATTCTAATTTACTTTGTGACAATACGAATCTTTTGGGCTTGTAAAAATGACTTATACATAGTAATAATAATTTATTTTTAGTCCTTCTTCACTGCCATTGTTGGAGATCCTTAGCGTTGGATCAGCAATAATCTAAACTTATTTCATCCAAGCTACCTCCAGCATCCGTGAACACCTTGAGCTTATCGAAGACTGGTGAAAGAAGTGGAAGACAAGACTGAACGAAGAAACATGCACTCAGTGTATTTTACGCTGAAAAAGCAGTCTTGCCCTCCATTGTACATCAATAACAAAGAGATACCAGTTTCCACTCAAGTAACATTCAGTTAGTTCAAGTAGCTCAAGTAACATATCAGGGACTGTATCTGGACAGCAGAATGACTTGGAATCCCCACGCAAGACTTAAAAAACAACTATACAAGACTTGGTCTACTACGAAGACTTCGAAGACCGAAATCGACTTTGACAACTAAGACAAAGCTAACACTGTACAAGACTTTACTTAGACCAAAATGGACATACGGAGTGGAACTGCGGGGTACTGCCAAGCCATCCAATATCCAAAGTACTTAAACAAATTGTGAAAGCTCCTTATTATGTCACTAAACTCACTATCCACAAAGACAAAGACCTCAACATTCCTTTTGCCAAGGAACTGATCCGGTCCAAACTTTCCAAACCAACCTTTCGAACCATCCCAACCATACCTCAACCGACGGTGGACCCGGGATCTCCGTAACACCTACCTAATCATAGACACTGAGTGCCAGTAATGGCTGGCTCCTCAAAGCATGTGTTCTAGTACTGGCATTAGTGCTAGTGTTGCGCTGGGTGACACATTAATCACGTTTACATATTTGTATAGTATACGATCATGTATAGGTAACAAAAAAAGGTAAAAATTGTAAATTGCTAAGGAAAAATAACAACGGACAGATAAATTTTGTTTTAGATTTTAAATTCACATTTCATTATCGCGTATTTCCTCCTCTTGCCTTAATTACGTCTCGAAGACGCCTCGGCATACTTTCTACCAGTCTGGAAATGTCTCTTTCCTGGAGGTTATATCATTATTCACGAAGAGTCCTTTCGAGATCGTGGAGCAGCGTATCAGGAAGTGATGGTCGTGCTTTTATTCGTCTTTTGAGGTTATCTCATAAATGTTCAATGGGGTTCAAGTCTGGAGAACGGGCTGGCCAGGCAAAGACCCTGATGTTATGCTGGTGAAGTTTGTCTGTACTTTACAATTAATTAAGGTTTTTAGTTGAGTTGAAAAAAATGTCCGAGTGGATCGAGGTCACGATAGCTCAAGTGGTAGAGCAGCGGCGTATCTAGCCGAAGATCGTGGGTTCGAATCCCGTTCGTGCCATTAACTTTTTTTCATCTCAACTAAAAACCTTAATTAATTGTAAAGTATTAATTGGTCAAGCGGACCACGAAATTAGTGAATTTATGTTGTCTGTACTATGCGAGCGACATGTGGACGGGCATTGTCGTGCATTAGAATAGGATTGTCGTTGATTTCATCGAGGATAGGCAACGCATGATGTTCTAAAATTTCATCCACATAGCGAGTGGCCGTCAAAGACTATCCATGAACAATAGCCAACTCTGCATGACTGTCTATTGAAATTCCCGCCCACACCATCATTGAGCTATGTTGAAAAGGTTGGCCCTCGTAATAATTACAGGCTTCGTACTTTTCATTTCGCCTTCTCCATACTCTTTCACGTCCATCTGGAGATCGTAGAGCAAATCTACTCTCATCTGTAAAAAGTACAGCAGACCAATCGTACAAAGACCAATGACTGTGTTCTCGACCAAATGGGAGCCGTACAACTCTGTGTGCTCTGGACAATTCTGATCCTCTTGCGGGGCGAAAAGCCATCAGTCCATACTGATTTAATCTTCTTCGAGCAGTGCGTTCAGAAATTTGGACACCTCGAACTTCCTGGAGCTGATGAATCGCTTGACCAACAGTATGGTCATCCTGTGGTTCTGTTACCCTAGGGCGTCCACACCTGATGGAATGCCCATCATCACGCGCAACATCCTCAGTACCAAGTGGCATTTTTACGTTTAAAAATTGAAATTAAGAAAACAAAGATGTAAACTAAACGATTTATTGCTTCAAAATACAAATGAGACTGAATAAACATTTTAAAATGCGTAAAATGGAAACATTGAAAAATCCTTTATCCTTGTTTGGATTAAGGGTTGTGTTTATAATTCTGATGGGAATATTGGTCGACCGATATTCCCATCACACACTGATGCAAACATCTCAATTATAATTCAACAGTCATCAAAAGTTACATTAAAAGATTGTTGAGATAATTGGTCAAGCGGACCACGAAATTAGGGAATTAAAATATTGTGGACATCCAATCCTGCTACCCCTAAAAGATCGCTTTCAGCTAATATTTTTCCTTCGTTGATTTCATTCGATATTACTCTTATTCTTAAACCTATTTCAATGGCTATAGTCAGCCATTTGAGTGAGTATGACAGTGCCAGGGTCATAACATTATAAGAGGAAGAATACAGCTTAGGCGAATTCGCCAGGAGACAGAGTATAAAATCACTCTACAATAGAAAGAGTTCTTCAGCGCTTCAGAAAAACAGGGCTTCCCAAGGCAGGGCAGGGTCGACCTAGGTCTACAGACCAAAGAGACGATAGATTCATCGTCATCAGGATATACGAAACCGCAGATTTACGGAAAATGAGATAAGAAATCCCAAGACAAGTTCGAAATGTTTCGATTTCCTCCATTACTGGAAGAAAGCTCAATGAAAATAACTTCAGGGCCTGACACCCGGCTCGTGGACCTCTTCGTAAAATGTCCGGGTGTACGGGTACATGTGAATTGGACGTTGGAAGATTGAGAACGAGTTTTCTTTACAGAGGTTGTCCTCAAATCTTCAGATGGGCATAATTTCATATGGGGACGATCAGGAGAAAGATACGGCCCATGGTGTCTGGTTCCTTAGGTGGCATTCCACGGCGAGTCATTTAATGCTCTGGGTGGCATTTACTTGGACGCCAGTACCGAATTGATTGTTGTGCGAGGATGATCTCTAACTTCACAGAGGTACTTAAAAGACATGAGAAGAACATGTAATTCCATTCCCCCCTCCACAACGGTGAGAGATTCTTGTTATTGTAGCATAATTCCAGGCCCCATAGAGCATGTATTGTGGATGACTACCTGAATGAGGGTGGAACTGATAGCTTGGTGTGGCCACCTCGAAATCCAGATTTGAACCCAATCGGATACATTTCAGACCAACTTAAGCGACGAGTACGACGGCGAAACTCAGGTCCTGACACCAAGTCTCTTTTTGATGAATGGGAAAGAATTCCTCAGGATTTTACCAGAAATCTTTTCCAAGGAAGTGATTCGTGCCAGAGGCGGAAATACTCGGTACAAGGGGACAAAAAAGTTTTTATTTCACCTTTTGGTTTTTGATTTTTTTTTTCCTTTTCTCAATAATTGTTTTTTCAGAATGAAGTAATAAACATTTGATTTTAAATGTCTTATTTTAACAATCAAACTTATTTTTGGTACGCAAAATAACAATAAACCTATATACGTTAAAATTTAAGGGTGGTGCGTTTATTTTCGTCTATAGTATATTAATAAAACCTCGCATTCTTTAAATTATTTTGGCTATGATAAACTTTTTATTTGTTCGTTTTTTAAACGAGGGTATTTTAAGACTAGGGTTATATGAACCCTTGGGGGTGGAGGTGTTTTTTAATAAAGCTCATTTTTTAGTATGCGGATTTTAGGTAGGTCTGGTGAAAAATACCGTCAATGAAAATTGTTATTTTGATTGAGTGGAATGGAATCCATGCATAGCTACTCATATTATAATTTGTTTAAGTCGCGAGGAGCGGTCAAGAGTGAGGTAGTTTAGAAAAACGCCTTTTTAATTTTTTTGCCGACGTTTCGACCTTTATTCGGGTCATCTTCAGTCATAAAGTGTGGTGCTATTCTTGTGGTGTCATATTGGTTTTGTGTGAGTGTTGTGGACTGTGTAGAAAACACCTTCACACAAAACCAATATGACACCACAAGAAAAGCGCCACACTTTATGCCCTGAAGATGACCCGAATAAAGGTCGAAACGTGGGCAAAAAATGAAAAAGGTATTTTTCTAAACTACCTCATTCTTAATCGCTCCTCATGACTTCTACAATTATGAAACAATAGGACACTAAGAAACACACGTTCTCTTATTTTTGGTCTGGCTTCCTCGCTGGTTTGTGTTGTTAGATATGTTTCGGCAATTTGCCATCTTCAGATTTGTTTAATGTTTGGCTATATGGCACCAGGCCCATTAGTAAAGATGGCAAAAGGCGTCATACAAACCAAACCGTTGATTATGAAAAGACCAAAATGATGGGTTATGGTGTGGTGCTACAAGTAGATCACATTTCTCTGAAGAAGAAAAATCATCAGGCTACCTAAAAAAAAGCTGTGCTTTTCGCAAAGAAAAACTATCAAATTATGTTAGTTTATTAATTATTATAAATCAAGCAAGCACTGAGGGTAAATTAGTTTCATTCTCATACAACTTTGAAAGTAATAATAATTTCAATTAATTACACTTTTCATTTAAGGTCTTGGTTGAGATGAAAAAGTTAGTGTCATAAGCGGGTTTTGAATCCACGACCTTCGGCTAAATCGGTTCGAATCTCACTCGTGACACTAATTTTTCACGAGTGAGATTCGAACCGATTTAGCCGAAGGTTGTGAATTCGAAACCCGCTTATGACACTAACTTTTTCATCTCAACCAAGACCTTAGATAAAAAGTATAATTAATTGAAATAATTAATAATGTCAATTATAACTGCTAAAAATATGGAGTAATAATAACAATGAGCCTTCATAATTATTCATAATTATGCATAGTGCCTGAAGAAGTTTTTTTTTTTTAATTTTACAACTTATTCTTTCCAAGTACAGATGAGGAAGAAAGGAACTCATATTTTGGTGATGTAAAACTGAAACTTTGGCTCATCGATATAACCTGAGCTTTCAGAGAGCAAAAAAATCATCAATTGCTCTTTAAACTTTTGTAAGTTCATAACTAGCTATTTAATCGAATAATTACCAATACTGCAATATTGAATAAAATTGATTAAGAGAGCTCTGAAAAAAAGTTTATTGCATTTAAAAATAACTTTCACTGGAAAAGCCACATTAAATATAACATTACAAAACAAATTAGATTTTAATATTTAATATATGGAAAGCAGTAATTATCCTTTGCCATTTGTTATTCCATTAACTGTTATTGCTTATTCAAGATTGTATCCATTAATATTACAAATGTTGACTGTTGCTCCTTTTGCTTCCATTAGCTATGGAGCGGCTGGAGGAATCTGACCTCGTCGATGGTCTCAGTGTAAATTACATGAAGTACAGCGGGTTGTGGACAATTATCAATGAATACCGAGAGACAGGCAGAAAGAACGCTATGTTGAAAATCGGTGTGTTTATCACTATGATATTTCTCTGTCCTTTCATAACGTTCAGCTTGTCGAGTTTCTTTGTGATTGAAGTCGATTTTCAAGCAGCGACTATGTTCGTTTTGAATCCCTGTTCTTGTATACAATCGGTGCTGAAGGTCCTTGTTTTCTGGTTCGGTTTAGAAAGCCAATGCCAAATACTAAACATGATGAGAAAAGACTTCTTGAACTGCATCCCAAAAGATAAAGAAGAAGAAGCCAACGAGATTATGAAAAACATTGCCCATCGCTCTAACTATTTTTGCGTGGCTGGAATCACAGCAAACACAGCTTGTGTCCTCGTCTGGAATTTTATCCCTGTCCTTAGGTCGCAATATTTCAGAGAGGAATTGAACATAAAATTAGATAATATGGAAACAAACTCACCCAATAAAATTTTAGGAGGATGGTATCCTTTTAACTACACAGTAACGCCTTGGTCAGAAGGTGTCTATGTCTTTGAATTTATAGTATGTGCTTGGGCAGGCTTTGTCATCAGTCTACACGAGTGCATACTTATACAGCTTGTTATGTTGCTATGGGGTCACCTAAAAGTAGTAAGTTTTGTGCTCAGCAATATCCGAAGGTCTGATTTTCTTGTCAAAAAGAGATTCTCAGCAATCCATTCGTTCAAAAATTATGAGGATGATAGTATAAACAGTTCAGAAGCTGTTAGCAAACGCATGAACGATCATTTACTCATATGTCTGAAAGATCATCAACATTTGATGAAGTATGCTTGTGAAATGCGCACCAATTAGAATTATAAATTAATATCTCCTTATTTGAATTTTCAGGGTCGGAGATCAAATTCGTGACCTGTATAATTTCCTCATTACTGCCCAACTTGGTACTGGCCTGTTGATTATGATAATTACAGTTTTTCATTTTCAGTATTATGTAAGTTAAAAAAATAGAGCATTGTTAAATAAACTTATTACTTTAGTTTAAATTTAATTTCAGGGGACAAAAGATGCATTATTCACTGTCAAATTTGTAGTTTACCTTGGCTATTGTATGGTCGAAAATGTCCTATATTGCTACTGTGGAGCATATTTGGAAGCTGCAGTCCGTCTTTTATTTTAAAAAAAGAAAAGAATTATCCAGATTAACATGTTGTGTTTTTTTAGAGCGAAGAAGTTGGTATGGGGTTTTACAGCGGTGAATGGTACAAAGGCGATGTCAATTACAGAAAAATAGGCCAAATGCTAATGGTGCGTTCGCTGAGGCCTGTTTCTTTAATCGCCGTCCAGCTCTATCCTGTCAATTTGACAACATTGACCAGTGTACGATATCTTAGCTTAAACTATCAAAAATAATTAGCCTAAATTTAAATATTTTTTTAGTTGCTACAGTTGACCTACTCGTCATCAGCCTTGATGTCAAGATTTATTAATGATAATTGAAGATAACAATCAATTTATCGTAGAAAATCATTAAATATTATGCTGCGGTTATTGTTATAATTAGTAATGCCATATAATATAAATTTAAAAAAATTGTCACTTGCATGTAACATTTGATAGTATGAAGCAAAATATATAAAACAAATATCACCATCAAATAAGAATTTCTCTCGAGCTATATGGACGTTACAGATTAACAGGTTTTTAGAAAAAAGCATAATTTTTCACATGTACAAGCACTATTCTACTTCGCTATGGACAAACAATGCACAAACCTACTGCAGAAGATGGCAATATGCCGAATCATATCTGACATACCAAACCTGCGAGAATAGCCAGACCAAAATGATCAGTAATGACAAAACCGCAGGTTCTTTTAGAGTGTTGGATATTCATTTTTTTACCACCCATGGAACCCATTCCAACTGATTTGCTGATGTTTAATAAAACTAAAATAACAAATTTGGACTTAATTTTCATCAGCACTATTTTTTTCACAAAAACCCAATCTATTAACAGGGGTGTCGGTGGGTGCATAGGGCACCCCGATTGTTCATATAACCCCATAATTTTAAGAAAAAAATTTTCTTTTGTTTTTGATAATTTAAATGCCAAAATCATTTGAAGAAAGCCAGGCAAAATTTTATTAACATATCAAATAAAAGTGTGTTTATTTCTAAGCTAAAAATGACCATATAGTCCATGTAAAGGATGGTGTGAACATGTTGCAAAACTTATAATAAATAACTCTAAATAAATAAAGATTGTGAACATCAGCAAGTCTTTGGGTTTCCTTTTCTAGGTTTAGGAGGAAATAGAGGTGTTTAATTATATCCAGTTTAGGTGAATGTATTTATAAGAGTGAAAGTATAGTTTGAAATGGTCAATCGTGGCCTATGAGTATCACCATCAACCCTCAATTGGTCGATTACTCCACCACCATATTTGAATGACTGTCCTAACGGATGGGAGATCACCAATCTCTGCCTATCAAATTACAGGCTAACCTTTCCTACTACAGGAGGAAATCTCAGTATGAATGTATGAGAGGGTGCTTAGGTTTAAAAACTGCATGCATTGAGGGATGAAATGACCTAGCTGTTGACAGTCCGGAGAGCCTAACTTCAAAACACCCAAGTGGATGATTCTCACGACTTGCAGCAAGAAATCGCTCAATATTGTATACATGTATGTGCAGAATTGAGCTAATATAGGAGAAAACAAAAATAAATAAATATAACGATTACAGCGTTCATGTAAAACAGTACTGTTGATAGTTGGCCCTCAGGATCTGACTCCTCATCTTTACTCGACTAAGAATAGGCCATATGAGGTTGACATAATTACAGTTACTTTCAGTCCAAAGCTACGTATCCAGCATGTAGAGAATGTTGCATGATGCATCCCACTTACTTGGGTGCAATTCATTGGCTCTATTTAGTGCATAGGAATGCCATCTGATATGAGAATTATACATGAGCATGGCAGCGAGTATTTGGGTCCCTTGTTCCGATTCTTGGAGGTTTTTTTTTTAAACAAGGGTATTTCAACTACGAGGTTATATGAACCCTCGGGATGCAGGTTTTTTGAAAAAAAGCCCATTTCATGTTGGGTTCGAATGCAGGGCTGCTGGATTCGAACCTGGGGCCTATATCTTACAGTTATGAGCACCGTGCCAATGCCTAAACCTTCGGTCACCGTTGTCCCTCTTGGAGGTATATCTACATCCCTCATGAATGTGTAGTGTGAGGGCCGATAGCAGAATATTCAGTACCCCATCGACCCTCAATTAGGCTAGTTAGATAATAGGGGTAAAGGGTGATGGAGGAATATCGAGTATCCAACCATCTGACTGAATAAATAAAATAAGAAAGAATGTATTTAAGAACATGTGTAAACTGAGCAGGACGATAACAGAAATTGCACTGTACCAGTTAATCAATGACCTGAAAGAAATGCTAGAAGCAAAGCAAGTTGCGATCTGAGCACTGAATGAGCCTTTGAATATCTAGAATTCTAGATGGATTAGAGAAATGTTAAAAATCAGAAAAACTGAGTCAAGGGTAGAAAAAGACACAATAAAGTTAGCATAACCAAAGGATTCCCGCAAGGAGGAGTACTATACCTCTCCTATGGAACAGTCGATGAATTGCTTGAAACTGTGGTCCGCAAAGGGATAAAGGGTCAGGGCTATGAAGATGATAGTCCTACCTCCCAGGGGAAAATTAAAAGAAACCCTCTACGACATAATCCAAGAGAGGCTAAAAATCACAAGTGAACGGTGTAAAACCAACGGAACGGTTTAGGGTGGACAAAAAAAAAAAAAAAAAAAAAAAAAAAGAGTTTTATAATATCATGTTTGTAAGAGAGGAGTGTTTTTTTTTGCCCCAAAATCAATTTTTTATTTTTTTGAATAATATATGAATAATCATTTAAGCAGAGGGAATTCGAATGCGATAAGAAGGTAAGGTTGCTGATCAGGACCCGCCGTATTAGGCTGGCTTTATCCTGGCCCAAGCCTAGTGGCCTTGCCTGGAATGCACCCCCCCCATGGCGAGTGTCCGCCATGGAATAAAGTAAATCATTTATTTTTTTAAATAGAAAATACTACTTTCCTCTCATATATTGATTGTTTTGTTTATTTATTTATTTTTCTCAAATTTATTTAGAGTACAAACAAGAATATATTTTTTAGTTAAAGGAGTTCCCCATTACTCTGGACGCATAAAATGGGGTGGCGCCCAACTCACCAATATTTCTTTGGTTTTTAATATTTTTTTTTAAATTTTAATTTTATTTGTTTAATATAGTTTGTGTATTGCCCCTCCACTATTACCCCCCCACTCCTGGCGAGCTACCGGGATAAATTTTGCTCTGACCCGAAACAACTTTTGGGTGTAACAAGGGATTAACCCCAATAAAACAACCATGGTCAGTTTTTCAGAAAAGAAAATTAGATATCACATAAGGCAGATAAAATTCAATAATTCTGTGATAGAAATGAAAAGAGATCAAATCTCTTGGCATTTAAGGAATGTATCGACACATCAAGAAAGCAGGAGCTTTAAAGGTGTACAGAAGAATAGCAGGAAAAAATTACTGATGCGGAACGGAAGCCCTGTTCTGGATGTACACCATGATGGTTAGGTTTATTCTACATGTTCTAAAGTATAAAAAATAACAAATTGAAGAGAACTCACAGAAAAACGTAGACTTGCACAAATCTGTATAACTGAAACGATGAGAATGTCCCACAGCTGGTATGAAGAAGGTACTGGCATAACCCCTCCCCCACATGATAATGGCAGCACAGAAAACTATTATCAGTATTATCAAAGAGAAACCTACATTGGGAAGAAAATAAAATGGAGGGAAAGTAACAGTCTAATGAAAGATCATCCAATACTCATGTCCCCAAAAGATGACCATGACTTGAACAGGTTTGAGTTTAATGAAAATTTTTAAATAAACTTAGGTACCATAAAAGAAGCATACTATGCGAAAGAGAGAAAAACACTTTAAGAATGGCACCATCTATCTAGAAAGCAAGAAAGTACAGTAGCAGGAGAATTCGATCCTGGAACCAAATACTCAGGACCCATGGGAAAATACTTGAATATCTTCCAAAGTGTAGTCCATGCAATCGAGAGATCCAATTCAATCTAAATAAAGGGTACAAAAACAAGAATATAGCTATCATGTCTGATTGAAGCACTAAGTTCAAACATCATTAGCTCAAAGATGGTGCTAAATTGCGAAACAAATTAAGTATGCAAAACAGTCACTCTCTGCTGGGTCCCAGGCCACGTGAGAGTTAAAGGTAACAAGAAAGCAGACATCCTGGCAAGTAAAAGGGCTATACTGCTGATAGAATCCGATCCCTTCTATGGCATATGAATCCACCCTATCAATGAGCACCACTGATAGTATAAAAAGAAAATAAGAGTACAAAATATACGATGCTATATTTGCCAAGAGAAGGAAGTGTTTTGGAACATACAATGTAAAAATAGAAGAGATGTAACCACTGAAACCGGGCCTACTAATCAAGTTCCTAAAGTTGAAACTGGTGTGCTACATCACAGAACGAAGGATACAACAGCTCTTAAAGGGCCCAGTAAAAACACCTAATGACTAGCTATTGGCAGCCACTGGAGTCCAATCTCAGCAGTTGGATTAAAAAGATCAAGTCTGACCCTGTACTGCCAAAACTTGCAGTGGGGGATTCTTTAGGCTTGCTGGTAATTTATTGTATATCACAAAAGGTGGAATTGCCGGAGGATTGTGAGAAATGATAAGTTCAACTCAGTGGCACATGTGTATCTATATGTGTACACGGATTTGAGCTTATATAAATCAGTAATCAGTAATATAACGAATACTCTTTATTATAAAAACTGTACAATTTCTCAAAAAAGAAAAAAAAAACTATGGATGACAGGACAGTCTTTATTTTATGTTGCCAGATAAATTATACAGGATATTTACAAGTAAAATCTTTTCCAAATTTTGTTGACTTTTTATACAAAATAAATAATAAATAGTTTTGAAAACAGAAAAAAAGTGAATATGCGATTCAGATGAGTAGAAAAAAACCCAATAGTCCCAAATACTTTTAATTATGGAAATCAAACTAGATGACCCGTCTGACTTCAAAGAACCTCTTGAGGTAGTAGACTTGCCCGATGGTCATTGCGATAAGGATCACGGCTTCGAATATAGACCACACGGCGACTTTGCTGTTGGTGGCTTCATTTATCCCATGATGGATTTTGTCCCTGAGGGCCATGTACTCTTGTTCGTGTTTCACTCCTGACAGGGCGTGCGACAACTCTTTGATCATGACTTCGATTTTATTGCTATGAACGTCATCCGTCGATTCGTTTGTCGGGGCCTCTCCGACCTCCATCGAGAACATTACAACCTTGGGCGATATGGTCGACATCTCGTTGCTGAAGCAGTACGTGTAAACGCCGGATTTGTGCGCTGAGAACGTATACTTACCGCTCGACTCCCTCTCGCCCTGGTAAATCGAAGCGCCATCCGGACCAATTATCTTAACGTCAATGTCCAAGAAACCACCTTCGGACGTTTCAAACATCAGACCCATCTTTGTTCCCTGTTCCACCTGTCAAGAAAAAAGGGTATTAGCACAACAAGCAATGAAATTTATAACTATGGCCGCGCACAAAACGAAGGCTATAATAAATACTATTGCGTTTTAACTTATTATTCTACTTTTTTTTAACTTATGCAGTTATTTATAATAAACTTAAAAAACAGATTTGTCACTATTTTTTGACACTGGATAGTACAAAACAAAGGCCATTTGTAGGCAAAAAGCCGTTCGTCCTGGGCAAACGGCTCGACCAGTTTCACCTTCTCGAAGAAGCATTCTTCGTTGTGGGCGTCGACGGTGACAAAATAACTTTCGGAAAAGTCCAAAAGGCTCAAAAGGGACGCCAGAAGAGCGATGGAAAAGTGCATTTCGTTGAGGAAAACTGGGAAAATCCGATCGAACGTTTCATAAAAGTAGGCGTATGTGGCACGAGCAGGTTAGAACGGAGGTTACACTGGTTAGTGGTTGTCAGTCGGGGGACGATGCTCCGGCCAACGCGACAACCGTGTCAAAATCACTACGATTATCGCTTTATGAGTTTATGTTATATTTTAAATAAATATTTTATACGTATTTTTATAATATGTTAATATTTTTTAATCAAAACTGCAGTTAACCCTGTAGAGTTGAATTGGATCGATCGTCCTGGCATCTTTCGGTCAGTTACGACCATTCTGTAGCGGTGTAACCTTCATTTTTTTTCAATAATTCTAACATTTCTTAATTTGATACAACTTGTTTACGCTCGATGTTTTTTTATAGTTTTTTTTTGTTTCTGCGCAATTTTTAGTACAGTTTTGGTCTCCGAATTGTTTTCAACATACACTGGGCAAAGTCTGGCAAAGCCAAAAACACTCAACCTAAGTTTTACACTCATGCTCCCCCTGTCTAAAATAGATTATTTCCTCATAATGAAACTACTCTTATTTTACCCAAAAAACATTAAAATTTTATTTTAACAAAATATAACAGTTATGCGTGTCAACAACAATAACTGATTATACTCGCAATGGGCCAGAGGACAAAGGTCAGAAACCAAGTCATATGAATGAAAATCCTCTCAGAGTGTGATTAGCTTTCATGATGGAACTACCAAAGCCCATTCGTGAATTAATTGTTTCCTTAAGAAATCAAGGTAAGACCTTGAGGGAAATTGGAAGGACTGAAATTTTACAAACTGTTCTTGACAAACCATGGACTATCGCTCCAACCATTGTTGAGAACTTGCCACGTCAATATGGTGTAACTGCTGGACGACAAAAAGTATGGCGAAAAGCTAATAAAGCAATGTAAACGAAAAATATGAGGCCCACGTTTAACACGGTCGTCCGTCTGACCCAAAGATGTTAAATCGACTTTCATCCGAGAAAATAACGCATTCCGAAAACAATGGTGGTTTTTGTACACAGTTGTATGGTTTCTTCTTGGGAACTCGGCCGAAAAAAACACTTTCTCGTAACTTGTTCTTCACCGTTTGCGGAGTAACTGTTACAGCATAGTCATGTGACCTTAGCAATGATTGGGGCGCTAGTCCACGGTTTGCCAAGGACAGTTTTTAAAATTTCACGTTTATACAACTGATACATTTTTGGTGACCGCTCTGTTGGATGGACCACCCAATTCATTATATCTTTCGATAATTTTTGAAACTGTACTTGCATTTTTCTTAACAGCCCTTCCAATATCCCTCAAGGTATTAGGACTAATTTGCCTAGTGTATATTTTATTTCGAAATAGCTAATATCTCTTAACTACTAGTTTTCCTTGCTTTCAATTTCTATCTCGTTATTTGCATTTTTTTACTTCAGCGAACAGCTCGCCCAAAAAGTTTCGAGAAAGGTTAACGTGAGTGCCGCGTCAAGATGGCCGTTCAACTCATATCTCTTCATGAAGGGTTCGGACGAAGCCCTAAAGGTATGCCAGGTTTGGTTAAATTTACATATTTCCTTTGACTAAAGCATAGGGTGAATTTTGATTTTAGCCAGCCACAGATCATCATGAAGGTCGCTTGGGACGACCAAGGCGGATGACATCGCAGCCATTCGGTGAGTACTCTATTTTATTGTTTTCTTTTAGACATTTCAATTTACTTTTGCGACCAACAAGTGTTTACTTTTTTCCTCCGGCCCACGATAGATCTTTATTTGAAAGAAAATTCATTCTTTTAAAAATCTGCTTGGATTAGTACAGCCCTGCCACCTGGTTTCCTACCTTCCCCTCTTGTACGAAACAAAGTCAAAATCTGATTCGCAAATCGCCAATCGGGTGCATCTGAAGAGGCTCCTGGCCCAAAGAAACGACGTTTTTGCAAAACTTAAAAATATTGTTGGTTTCATAAAATGTTTTTCTTCTTGGACAAGGGCGTTGTTGTCTTGATGAAATATCATCTTTCATCTGGACATCATTGTTGTTGTCTAAAACTCACCTTTCAGTTTGGAAGAAATTTAGTTTCTTTCTACGATGCAAATTTTTTATGCTCAAGTCTGAAATTGCTGTTGCTAGTACTTAGCAGTTGTCAATAGATCTGGTGATGGAGCTGGACAAGGTAAATCGGAAATATTTTTGGTTTTATAAAATGTTTTTACTTCGTAGACAAGGGCTTTGTTGTCGTGATGAAAAATCATCTTTCATCTGGATGTTTTGTTATTATTAAATAATCCTTAATAATAATAAAAGAATAATTTTATAATACTTGTAGGTTGAGATGGAGAGGTGGTGTCCGAGTGGATCGAAATCACGATAGTTCAAGTGGTGCAGCGACGAATTTAGCCGAAGGTCGTGGGTTCGAATCCCGCTCATGACACTAACTTTTTAATTTCAACCAAAACCTTACATAAAAGTAATTGAAAGAAGTAATTTGGTCAATAGACCACTAAATATAATTGGAATATTTCTATTATTAAGTTATCCATAGATTATTTTCAATAATAAACAAATTTTGGTAAATTGTTTATAGGCAAGGTCTGATTACCAAACGCTCTACTTTACTTTTTAGGAAATTATTTAGGGCAATTCCGTTAATCATATTTTATTTTGATACCAAAATTGTCCGGGAGAAAATTAAAGTTTAAGAAAAATAATGTTAAGTTGATGTGTTGGTCTGCGAGTCATGTTTCAACCGCCTTGGTTGGGTCCGTCTTTACTCGCGGCTTTGTTGAATTACTCAATAAGAAACTAAGTACCGTTTCAAACGAGAAAATAATCTTTTGTTACTTGTACCGCTGATAAAACTGGTACTAGTTTTATAACAATACAACAGTGTTGTTTCTTAAATAAATTGCCGTTGGCCACCGTTAAACGATATTTTATCAACTCGGCAACCGTTAAAAGTTACCGGGCGAAGAAAATAATATTTCATAAATATCAATACTATCCATAATGAGGGATCTAGGGCCGGAAGTGGGACGCGATGGGGTTGGTCAGCACAGGAAGAGGATATAGCCCTCGGTTATTGAGTTATCGCCCCGCAGGCTCCTTGTTCGTCCAAATCTCCTTTCACTTCCCCTTCACTAATGGCACGACTTCCCCCTTTGCCTCCAAGTTACAGCTGTTAGTGATTTTCAACAAAAACATAACTAACTGTAACTGCTCCGCGTGGGGTAAAAGTCGCCCTGTGTCACTTATTTATTGTAGAATATTGTGCTACTTTTCGAATTTATTGTATTGTTTCTTGAGTCTGTTGTTTGATTGTATAAACTCATCTGGGAATTTTTTTTTTTGAGTTTTTAGGCCGGCAAACTACTTTGGTCATCGCCAGTACTCTCTTTCTTAGCCTTGCATTTCTTTTCTTATTAAACCTACTAATTTCATTTACTCTTTCTCCAGTCAATTGTGGGTAAATAACACAAGTAACAAACACAAGTGCATAGAAGCAAGATAAAAACATGATAACCTGGTTAGCATTACCCCAGAGTACTCGATATTCTCGGAGTAATTGGGGAGGAAAATTTCACAATTGGGGTTATGCCCCTCCATTCACGCTAATAAATTACACGTTCACACCACCAATTTAACATCATTGGAGTACTACCAATGGGTATTTTTTCCACTGTCTTTAATTTTGTACATATATTTTTCCCATCACTTTGATACATGTTACCTTGTTAAAGGTACTTGTAACTGCAAATTAAAAACAGATTAATTAATAAGAGTGTGTAATGAAGACAAAACCTTAAACAATTTGAAAATCGCACTGCATAGTACAAGTTGTCAGACGTTACAAGTAGAGACTATAAAATTTCTGGATGGTTTAGTGATGGATGATTTCGCGACCAATTGTCTATGGCGCTCATTATTGGGGGTTTCAACGGTTTGAGCTGGTGGAAAGATTTCAGCGTTGTTTTTTTTTTATTTTTATTAAAAAGTTGTTTCGGCTTCCCCCCATGACACCTAAGTATATGTTAACGATTGAGACCTCGACTTCTCTCGTTAAAGTTTTCACCTTCGGCCTTCATGTAAGATACTGCATTAAAAGTCTATATTTGCCTGCTCACCGCCTTTCTCGTATTATAACTTTGGAAGTTATAAAATGACAAAATTGTTCAAGCACTGGATTGATTTGGCGGAGAGATGCGATTTCGGTTCAAACTTAGAAAATAGGGACAAGTGTAGTGCTCAGTTATTGGTCATCGGTCAGAGGATGGACGAATGTTATCGTGAGGAGTGTGTGCGGTCGGCTAGACAATCTAACCGTTTTTTACTATACAAGGATAAGGACAGTACTCCTCAAATTTATTAAACACAAGTATACAGAATCAAGATAAAAACATGATAACCTGGTTAGTATTACCCCAGGGTACTCGATATTCCCCGGGGTAATTGGAGATGAAATCTCAGAATTGGAGATATGCCCTCCATTCACGCTAATAAATTACATAGTTCACACCACCATTTTAACATCACTGGAGTATTGCCAATGGGTATTTTCTCAACTGTTGTCTTTAATTTTGGTCATAGAACTGAGCTTTAAGCCATTGAGTTAAGTTGGTTTTTCAAGTTAGGATGCAACTTGCTCTATTTAACCACACTCCTTAGGGAAAACGTGAGGTTTCAATTTGTGCTTTGTGTAACTTCGGGGAGAGGGAGGATGACGTCTATTTCTAGGTTGCCAATCTCACTGAATTTGGATTTCTCCATAATGGACACAGGAAGCTCAGCAGAACCCGGCTAATTGAATTTCTTGATGGAAAGAATTGCTTAGCACTGATCAAATACGCGGCAAGCTTAGTTTTTGCCTGTTTTTAATTTTTTTTTCTTCATGTTTTCATAAAAGTTTTCTATTTTTACTTTCAATTACATATTTAATTCTTATATTTTTGTTGGAGTAGTGATGTGCATCAACTTACTGCAGACGGTATTTACCTTGCTGTACAATGTTAAATTACTTTGTTTCGTATATATTTTTTTTTATTATTAAATAAACATTATTATTATTTTATAAAATTTCGGTTTCGCTCATAGTATTGGGACGTTCGTTTTTGATTCATTCCACGTCATGCACTCCGGGGGGGGGGTGTGCTTTTTACAATAGACACATTGTGACATCCCACCACCCT